CCAACACCACCCCATACTGCTGCTGCCCGGTATGGATTATTAGAGAACCTTGCACCTGAAATGGGACATGACCCCACTACTCGGAGATTATGAGTCTCATGCTCTACTAACAAAGCTAGTCCTAGAATCAAGTACTTGGTTGTTAATCTACAGTATGACCTAATGGGAATCTACCCAAGGAAAACGGTTTTGATTTGAGCTCATCAAGGTATACAAGGTTGAAAACACCAACTGTTTTCACTGCTGATGTTTTTGCCTTTGGTTTTCTCTTGAAAGATTTTGTCAGCGGCTTACGAATGCAGAGCCAAGAAAGACGAGTGCGATTTGGCGGAATACTGCACAGGCCAATCTCAGTGGTGCCCAGAGGATGTGTTCACTGTCAATGGGGTGCCGTGCAAGCGAGGTCAAGGGTACTGTTACAATGGGCAGTGCCCACTCTTCTCAGACCAGTGTCAGAGGATCTGGGGGACAGGTATGTCTGCATTGCCTGGGTCATCTACAGTATTTGCTTGTCTTGTTCTTGGCAAACGCATTGCATCAATCGGTTTACAGGTCAGATGCCATCAGAATTTGTGGATTATACCAGATTGACAAGGAATCAGGATGTCTGGTTGTGGAGATCCACAGTGTTGTTTTGTCTTTCCAACTGAGCTCTCTAATCAGCTAACAGTGCATCTTACTCAGCTCAACTAAACTACTTTCCTAAAACTTACTCAGAAAAGAAAAGAGTTACTCAGAAGTTTTTTTTTTACATTTTACAATGTTTGAGAGCTGAAATATAAGAGTAAATTAGCATAATCATCAGCCCAGTTAATAGGTTAAGAAAATGAGGGGATACGATGAATGAACACTGTCATGCTGTAGGACCTGACCTGGAGATCACTGATATAGACATGATGGATGGTTTCCAACATTGTTCTTTCAGATGCAAAAGTGGGGAACGATTTATGCTACAATGCGAACACACATGGTGTGTACTACGGCTACTGCAGACGTGTCTCGGGGAGTTATGTGAGATGCCAGAATAAGTAAGAAACTTTGCTTTGAATGTTGAATGACTATACAATGGATAACCTTCGCTTACTTGGAAGTCAGAATCCGTGTGTTTTTATAACCACACTACTTTTGTAACATTGTGTTTCGGTAATGGTTTTGGAAGATTTATGCATTCTGAATCTCCAGCCATCTCTTCTTCAGGTAGCAGGCTGGGTACTATATTTCTCAGAGAAATTGTTTTTCCCCCTATAATTTTCTCATTTTTTGTTTACCTTCCCTAGATATGTATATATCTAGGTAATTGGTGAAAGTGCCTTCCCTAGATAGGTATTTACCTAGGTACTGTAAATGGAGGAAATATCTACCATGATCATTTAGTACAACTCCAGAGGGTAATGTAATTTCTCTGCTTGTGAAGAAGAACTTCACCATCTTCTTCACACCCTAAATAAAGACTCTCATAGCCCTCATGTAGTGTTTACCAGTGGTCTGCTTTTGAGTGCAGGACTTTTTTATTGTAGAAAAAATGCAAGGAGTTTAACACTGAAACTAAGGGACTTCAGCCAAATTTGATGGTAGTGACCCCTTTCATTGATGGATAACCAGTTCTCACTGCAGGAGCGCACACGACATACACAAAACTATTCACTGTTTATGTGGATGTTTCTTCCCAACAGAGATGTGAAATGTGGAAGGTTATTTTGCACTGGGGGCAATGACAACCCTGCGATAGGAAGACTGGTTCTTTTTAACAACTGCAAAGGTACACTTTTCGGGGATGACGAAGACGATCTGGGACAGGTAGCAACAGGCACCATTTGTGGAAATGGTCAGGTATGTTTGGGCTGGGGTGTTGAACTTTAGGTTTTGATTAGAGTTTTGAACACCATTTCAGAAGAGTGCATACAGTTCTATCTTAGATGACATTGTGCAAACATTCACCCATATTACCAAGAATGCCAACATGCAAGGATCATTCTGCAATTAAAAAAGTAATGAAAACAATTGCTGTAATAAGCATTATTTAATCTTCTCTCACCTTATCATTACTATTAAAAGAAAATTTGAATTTGCTACTTGAATTTGCATATTGTAATGTCCCCTCTCCCTTCTATGTAGCTTCACTGTATGTGATGTCACTGTATGTGTTAACGTAATAGCTTAAACATTCGGTAACATACATCAATCTTCTATGAATTAACTGCAAAAGCAGTAATTCTGAAAATAATTGTACAGAAGTCATCATTATTCCAATCTTAGGGGAGATCCCTCATAGATATGACATGAAACATTCAGTTGAGCTTTAAAAAACAAAATGGTAAAAGCATGTCTGAACTTTCCTATGGTATTTTAGAATTTTTGTAATTTTCTTTTTTTTGTTACTACATAACTGAACATGTAAAGACAAATTGTTTTAAAATTGTAGGAGAGAATGCTATCCAGATATTTCAAGTGATATCCTTTGCGCTTAAAAGAAAACTGCAAAAAGGCCATTCATAAACCCTAAGCCACCGTCTGACTCCTGTTTTAAAGGTCTGCAGCAATAATGAATGTTTGGATGTCGAAAGTGCCTACAAATCTGCCAACTGCTCAGCCAAATGTAAAGGCCATGGGGTAAGCAGAAAGTGGGATGTTGAATGCTGGCCACTTTGAAATACAAAGAGCCATTATTTTTTATTCTGTAAAAATACACTCATTTCATGTTCTTCTCCAAATCGTTGTTGGATCTTTATGCGATTTGTGGTGTTATAAGAGAGTTCTTTTCAATCTACCATGATAATTTAAAAAGTCAAACTCGTCATTTTCTAACTTGGAAGGGCTTCTTTTTGCCCACATAAACAGGTAATGTGCCTGGTGAACTCATTTAGAAGTCACTTAGAATAAATAGCAGGACACACTGCTGCCCTTCAGGACCACAGTGGGCAGCTTCTGACTCATTGAACAAATTACTCATTCTGTTGATCAAAAGGTTACATTTTCCGCAGCTGGATTGTGACTCATGAGGATCCACATTGGCCAGACTGCATTGGAACAATGAGCAAGTTTTAAATAATGAAATTTCACATGAAAAATTTAAGATTCTCCATTCAGTATGAAACAGTGTTGTTAACACCCGCAAACAATTAATTGATGAGAGCATGACGCCTGGGTGCTTTCCAAATGAAACGTTCCTTTTTTTTTCATTGAGAGGTTTGAGTATTAAACTCAGGCTTGAAGACCTAAATTAAACTAAGCAGTCAAAAAGCCTTTCAGTTATGACTTTCCTCAATAGTCCAGCCCAGTGGCGGTTCGTCAATTATAACCAACACCTGTAAAACTGGTAATCTGTAAAACTGATCTAGGCCAATAATCAAGTAGCTGGTAGTAGTCAAATGTAAGGGAATGGAATAGTCTTACTCCAAGTATCGTTGCTGTTGCAGGTTTGAAAAACTGGGTATTTAATAGCTGTCTTTGACCAGTCAGCTGTATTGAGCTCTGTAATACTATGTATTCTGCAGGTCTGCAATCACAGACTGGAGTGCCAGTGTGAATCAGGTTGGTTGCCCCCAAACTGTGACAAGAAAGCTGCTAATGAGACGTCTCCAGGTAGGACTCATTATATTATTATTGCACATGTCATCAGCCATTCAGAAAAAACACATTTCTATACAGTGCACTCAACCTTGACAACATGTTTGATTGTGCAAACTGTACAATGGTACTCATGTTTTCTAGTTAAATATGGCCTCTGTAAAACACAGAACTGCATAATAAAAAGTAATAAAAAGTCTGCAGCCGCTCCATGAGATTTATGACTTTCATTATTTTCTGCCTTAAAATAGTTATAGTTGTATTTTATTTGGATTTATCACAAATATGCTTGTTGGCAGCTTTCTGAGATTTATCTAAACGTCTTGAAAGCCACAACCAAAATGCTGGAACTGAAAGTTTGTGATATGTCAGTTAATGCTAGTTAAAGCTGAGAGTTCACTGTGGCTTTCATACAACTCGATATCAAGCTCCCCGCCCACAGATTGTTTGAAAGCTATTTTTCAAACAATGCAGTGATGTTATGTGCTCTTTTGGAAATATTAAAAAGCATTTTCCTCAGTCACCAATAATTTTGTTATGCTACTTCTTTCTATCTGATAATCAATCACTACAGAACACAGGAGTTGGTTTCTGACAGGTTTCTTTCTCCCCTATGAAAGTGGAATCAAACTCTATCAACCTGTTTCAGGAAAATAGTACTAAATTATTACATTATTTTTGTTTCCCACAAAGCCTGCTAATGAAATCAGTTTAGTAGTTAATTTACAGGCACATCAAGAATGTGGTGTTGGGGAATATTTGCATTATCAGTTTAATTTAAAGTAGGTCAGGAGTTTTCACGGGCTATAACCATTTCGAAAGTAGTAAAATAAAAAACTTTAGGCAAAACAACATTCAAACAAAATGTCTGCAACATTCATGGCATAACCTAATTTAGTTTTGCTCATAAAGGTCAGCAGACAATCAGGCAAAGACCAACCTGGAAACTCCAAGTAGACTTAACAATGACTTTCTAGTGTAGTTTCTGCTGAATACTCCATTTTCTGGTCAAAACACTTCTTCAAAGCCGATCATTAGGAAGATGTTCAAGGAAGAAGGATTTGTTACAGCATACTAAAAAGCTCACAACTCGATATTCTTTACCACATCCTTTCTCTCATGAAGCGTACAGTTTCTTGGTAAATGTGTTTGCTGAAATAGTCAAATTTCAATGCAAATAAACTAAAGAGAAAGAGTATGAACTCCAGTGTGCCCCCTAAATTGCCTGGTGGGGAAACAAACTAGGCATTAGTATTTTCTATTTGTTTCTTCTTACTGGAAGGATCATAAGCCTAGCAGTCATTCAACCATACAGAAAACATATGTCTCCTATGTATGCCCACTCTGAAAGTGTGTCTCAATCGCCTAGACTGGAAGGTAAATGAGAGATGGTTCAGTTTCAGCTCACATTGCTGACCGTGTCTCTCGCTCCCCTCCAGGAGTCACAGCTGCTGTTGTAATTATCTGCATTGTAGTCCTGATCGTCATCTTCATCATCATTGTGTTCATCCGGCGCAAAAAGAAGTACACAAGTCCATTCAGGTTTGTAGATGTTAAAAGCAAAGGAGTTCAAAACAGTTTGCTGGAAAACATAAATTTAGATGGAACGTGACTACCGTTATGATTAAGTTGTGCAGCAGTAATGATGTCACAATATTGAGGTACTCTTGCTACATTACTGAACTACATCCTTGAAACATCCTTGTGCTTTGGTCGAAATGAGTGAGGCATCGTGCAGCCATTGATAGTCTTAAAACCTCATATACAATCTCTGTCTCGATTTGGACATATAATTGAGATTCTGATATGAATTACATTATGTATAAGACGTGTTGTTTTTGCACATTGAACTAGTAGTTCTTTTCCTTCAGTTTCTCTGCTTGTTCATTTGTTAAAAAAGCACAGTGGCAAAGTGCTGAAGCCCTGGGTTCAAATCCAGACCTGGAGTGCTATCTCACACCAGATACAGAGTTGGTATGTTCTCCACTCATGTGCATGGGTTTCCTCCCACAGTCCAAAGACGTACTGATATGTTAATTGGCTATAGTGGCGAGGACACTACGCTGTAAAAACGTTTGGATGTGAAGTTAAACCGAGGTCCTGACTATCTTTGGTCATTAAAAAACCCAGGGCGTTTCTCAAAAAGAGTAGAGGCATTAACCCCGTTGTCCTGGGCAAATTTTCCCCTAGCCTTTACAATCATGGCCCCCTAATAATCCCCATCTCTGAACTGGCTTCCTCACTCTGTTCTCCTCCCCTCTCATAACTGATGTGTGGTGAGTGTACTGTCCGCACTCTCGCTGCTGTCGCATCATCCAGGTGGTGCTGCACGTTGGTGGTGGTGAAGGGGAGTCCTTATTACCTGTAAAGCGCTTTGAGTGGAGTGTCCAGAAAAGCGCTATATAAGTGTAAGCAATTATTATAATTATTATATTACTTATCTCACTTCCCTCTCTGTGTCCCAGATCTCAATCCCACCTGAAGACCACTGGAGTGACCAACCCAAGCTTTTTAAGGGACAGACAGCAGACGACTTCAGATTTTCAGGTCACTGTGGTATGAGATGATTTAATTTGAAATTAATTCAATTTAACATTGAAGAAACACTTTTTCTACCATCTTTTCAATGCACCTCAATTTTGCCTCTGTTCTGGGAAGGGCATTTTGCACATTTCATGTGAAATGTTAACAAAAAAGACAAGACTGTTTAAAGACCATGTAAAGGATAAGGCTTTTTAAAAAAATCCAGGGCATTTTTGCAGAATTTGCAATAAATTCTAGACTTAATTAGGACATTTTGAACCTGGATCTGCCCTCCAATAGCTTCATTTTCTAAGTTATCTGGTTAAAACTTAGTTTTAACTAAGTTATCTGGTTAAAACTGGTTAACTATCTGGTTAAAATAAAATTCTTTAGTCATTACCTAGTACTAAGGAGTTGATTTTTATGTTTTTCATATCATTTGATAGATTCATTGAAATAATTTTAAGAAACACCTATTACACTTTTAATTAAGAATGGATTAAATGAGTTTTCAACTAAGCAATTGTGATAAGCGAACAACTGATATTTGGTGTTTTCTGTAGCTTTACACAAGTTGATCACAAGCAAATTAAAAGGAGTCCTCACTAAGTAGCATTTTACTAAAGCGGTAATACTTTCGATTCATTCCTCAGCACCCAGTGAGAGCAGCACCTAGCCCTCCCTCTGCTGCTAACAAGCCAGTCGTGCCACCCCCTCCTGTGACCTCAAAACCCCCGACAACTGCACCTCCTTTTGTGACAACCTATAACAACAAGGCCAGAGCTCCACCTCCTTCTGCACCAGCCTCTAGCAACAAGCCAAGAGCCATACCCCCTCCTCGCCCAGTTGTCACCAATGCTGTGCCGGTCCAGGTGAGCATGACAGCTGTGGAAATGATATTTATAATGACATAATCTATAATGCATAACTTATTTTTCTTGAAATCCCAGTCTGATTGCCTTCTTTTTTCATTTTCAATAGCCTACCTACAAATGGTCATTTGTAAAAGGAACCATTGAGCAGTCTTTCCTTACACGTACTTCAATTATCATGATAAAGTTAATGACAAAATGGAGCTCTGTCTTCACAAGGAAATTAGATTTTCAACCAGACCTACGGTAGGCTATTGAAAATAAAAAAAGAAGGCAATCAGACTGGGATACAAAAATAAGTTATGTATAATAGATGATGTCATTGTAAATATCATTTCCACAGGAGAGAATGAAATTTAAGTATATAAATATAATATGAATTATAAATAACATGCAAGGAATGATGTATATTTTTTTCAAAACAAACTTCTACAGCCAGCTGTGCATTTATTACGATTATCATGGAGGAAATTTAGCATGGTTAATCACTGCGTATTTTAGTTGTTAATGTTTAACATCTGGTAGGATTAGTTGACAAGTAAAATAATTGAATTAATGGATACATTTGGTTGACAACAAGAGTTCAAAAGTTTGGGAGGTCAAACCCCATCCTCACTCACGTCCATTAACCTATGTACAGGCACAGCAATCGCCATACAAGCACTAGTCCATTACCATTTCCCATACTCCCTGCAGCCCTTCCCAGCAGCCCCCTGGCTCATCACTCTTAGACCACAAAGTTTCTAACTGACATCCTTGTATCCGGGTTGTCACTCTCTCAGCCCAGTGTGTTAAGCCATTAATTCAATCTAATTCAAATTGGTCTCTACTCCATCTTAATTTAGGTTTTGATCAGACGTCTGCAATGCCTACTAAAGTCAAATGCCACATCAGCTTCCTGGTTCAACAGGTGCATTATTCCTGTTTTACAAATTCAGTTTTAGTTGTTCATACTCAGACTGCTGTAAAAGTACCCCACAAAAGCAGTCTGTGATTGACTGGCATGTCACCAAACGTGTAGCTTTGCTTCTGAGATAGACCCTTACCTGGAATTAATAATAATAATAATAATAAATAATAATAATAATAATAATAATAGTTACTTTATTAGCCTGATACAATTTCTAGCATTAGGAATTCATCTTTTCACATACCCCAGCTTGCTCCCCATGAGTCACAGACACACAGACAGGGAGAGAAGCTGGGGGTCAGAGTGCAGGGTCAGCCATTGTACAGCACCCCTGGAGCAGCTAGGGTTAAGGGCCTTGCTCAGGGCCCCAACGGAGTAGGATTCCTCTGCCGGATGCGGGATTTGGACCGGCAACCTTCCAGTCACAGGCACAGATCCTTAGCCACTGCTCCGCCCTAAAAAAATATGGAACGCTTCATGAATTTGCGTGTCATGAAATTAATAGATAGAAACAACATGTGTACGTCTGGATCATAATTATCAAGGCAAATCCCTTGCTGGTGTAATGGGATTGTTTGTATTGTGTGTTGGTGCAGGTGAAGACTCGTCCTCCTCCAGTGCCCACTGCTAAACCAGGACATTTTCCTGTTGATGCCAGAGCAGTGAGTATTACATTTTTAAAGAAATAAAGCCAATTAAAGAGAGCATCATGCATCACCTGGATCAGGGGCTCAGATGTTCCTGAAAAAGCAAAAATTGCAGCCTTGTAAGATAAAAGCACAACTCAAATTTAGGGCCTTGTAAGACCTGAAAGCTTGGCTCCCAAAATGCAGAGACTAAGAGAGTTTGTTTTTTAAATCAACACTCCCGTGCCTTACAGCCATGCTACTAAACCTTTATGCCTGTTACATCATGAGAGATGAAAGGTAAGGTCTCTGAATGTTCCACACAGTCTTCTGAAAAGATAAATTCTTGATAGCCAGGTTTTCCCTACGATTATTCTGAAATATTTGGCAAATCCATAAACTTCAATTCAGAATGAAAGAAATAAGAAAGATTCATCAACTTATTTGGTGGGTAAAATGACAGATCCTGTTCATCTGAAGATACAATTTGGCAATGATATTTCAGAGTGCTACTTGTCAGCTTCATAAGAGGGAACAGTGGGAACTAGTGCAACATATTAGTGACTATAACACAATATTTTATACATTGTTTAATTAATTGATGTTTCTCATCCATTTTATTTTTAAGTACATTTTTACAACAACAAACCATCATGGACAGTTCTTGCAATTCGAGACCTGTGGTGGTGGGGTGAGGCATTGTAAAGGCAGAATTTCCACAGGGATAAATGTGCACTGTTTTAAAGGGAGTGTTTTTCAAACAAGGTATAAACATCCCGTATGTTCACGATTTCAGTTATTTGGGGATTACATAATATTTGCAAGACCTGAAACCAAACTCTGTTTTCGTGAATGGACTCATTTTTCTTCTTTTCCCTCACAGGCTCTTAAACCTGTGAATAACCCACGACTGTGAGGCCTCTTTATGCAGAGGGAAGTCAGCCTACAACACCCCAGTTATATTAACCTTTGCCACCACTACAGAAAGCTCTGGGAACTTTTAGTAGCTGATTGCACATCTCTGATCTCTGCCTTGAGTGCCTGTGCTGGTCAGAAGGGTCTGACTTCTTACACTGCCTTTGGTTGAATGAGCCCTGTGAGATTTTAGGGTGTTAATGTGTAAAAACATTTGGTTATTAAAAAAACACAGGCTGTAGCTTTTATTACAGTATCACTGTTCATATTTATTTCTTTTTATGCTAATTTAATATATTTGGTGAAAGGATGATTTAATATATAATATGCAATGTTGTAAAAATTCATTTTCTGTGTGTGTAGCTGATACCATCAGTTGATTTGGTCACAATTACCAAACAAAAAAAACAAGCAGGATTTAGAAAGTTCAACGATTTTTTTTCTTGTCTCATTCCTGAGTGGTGGTAAACATTTTAGGCAGTAAGGAAAAAGGAATATTTACAACTCCATGTATTTTTCATCAAAAAATGAAAGCAGAAATTCAAAATGTGGGCAGCACTATCCACAGTGTAGTTACAAGTACTTTTACTCTAGTGTAATTCAGTCATGTACAAAAACTATTAAAACATTAGTAACTACTATTAGAATATCAAAGGAGGAAAGGTTTTTAAAATATATTCATGCATAAACAAGCAATGTTTCGGATACATAAAAAGCCACACGTATACTTAAAAAACAGGCAGGAAATCTGATAAAACCCCACAAGATTGATACGCAACCAAATTCTTAACTTTGAACTAGTTTGTTCTGCTGCCAATTCTTCATTTTTTTGTGAACTTGAGATTGTAATTCTACTCCTAAATATTTGAGGATTGTGATAACACTGCCGGTTTAAATACAACAATGCAATGTGACCTCTCAGGCCAGAAATAAATATTACACAGCATTTAGACTCAGAAGTTACTACACAAAAAAAACATGGATATCATCTACGAAAATTGTATGAATTCAGATTCATTCTTTTACAGGCCCATTCCATTCAAATGCTCAGTTTGATTCTGGACTGGTAATGCCTTAAATGAAATATTATTAATATAAAACTTCAAATACAAAGCTTTGTATTTGAGCTCATACTATTCATTTTAATTGTTCCCAAAAAGTTTTATGATGATTTATATCCACATGGATTCTCCCACATTAGGCATAATCAAAGTGTCTAAACTCTTATTATAGCATATTCCCTTGCAATATATATCATATATATTCTTTGGTAGCCGTACTGTGTACCTCTTAAATAGTTCACAATACACAAGTGACCAAGTACCCTGTTTAAAATACACATTTTTAAAAAGCAAAATAAAAGATAGGATTAAAATTAAATTGCAGAAGGTGTGATCTTCATCAAACCGAGTTACCCTTACTATTATTTCTAGACTGGATCAAAAACAAAAACACATTTCACCAGGTCATTTAATAGTTCTAATAATGTTGCTGTGAAACAGCCATGCATATAGTGCCAGTTATTCCTCTTAAGTGCAATATCTTTTCTGTTGCATGTCTTAGAACCGTTTAATTTGTGTTATTAAATTGTTTAATAATGTACTGTATATTAAAATTATTAAACTATTAAACATTGTGCAGTAATGTTGCTTTCTTCGGTAATGGTGTTCAAAAAGAAAAAATGCACTTAATGAACTCTTTAACTGATAAGCATTTGTTAACTAAATCCCTGAGATGGACATCTTGATGCTTTTTGAAGTGTAAAAAGAATTCCTATTACTGTCAGTGAAATTAGTACACTCCTTAATATATTGGGCAGCTACTTGAAAACTGTATACATACCACCAAAGATAATCCGTTTTATAACTAACAGCACCAAATACATATGAATAATAACCTAACAGTCCATAACTGAAAGTACTACAGTAGTTTCATTTCTTCTAATGTTCTTTATAGCAATTTGAGGTTAGGGATTAGCATTTACCAAATTTTCAAGGCTTTGTCAATGTACACTTTTTTCACTCAGTACTGCTGCAACTCCACATGGCTCCATATACAAGATGGTGTGCCAAGGCTCAGATCCAAGAATGCAATCTGTCAGTAGTTTTCCCTCTTCTGTGTGACAGACGGGGGATCTCCAACACGTCTTTGTCTCTGTCTGCGGCTTTAATGTTATGCAGAACTTATTTAATAGTGTTTGGTTTGATGGAGTAGTAATCAGGCTCTATATAAGAACAGGCCCACAAGATTGATTATACACACATGGGAAAAAAATGTGCAAGGAGGCATAGCTACTTACAAATTATATGCACCAACTTTTTTGACATCTTCAATTTCTGTAGCCTTTCCACATGACTCATGAAAGCAATATGAATTATATTTTAAAAAATGACTGAAATTCCATACACGTACACATGCGAACACATCCCATGGCCAACAGTTTATTGCAGACAGTATATTAGAGGTGTATAACAGGTTTATTATTGTGGGATGCAAAGGCATTAATGAATTCCAGTGATAGTGAGAATGAACTACACTATTCCCTCTCTCAGCCTCCCCGTACATAGCATTTCCAAATGCTGAAAAGTGCAGTGTGCCTTTTTATACGTGGATACAGAAGGTGAATACATTATTCATTTCTTCATCATTAAAAATGAGACTTTATTAGGAACCTATAGTAACACTAGGTCACATTTAATGTTTTTAATATAAATGTCTATAAGCCATCCATGTGACCAGAATGGCTTTGGAAGTCTTATTTTATCTTGTTTTGCTTTCCCTACAACAGTAAAATAAGTAAATGTTAATAATGTGTGATGAAACGGAAAATAAGAATAAATGTGAAATGCCTCACGAACACGATTGCCTCCAAACTGTTCAACATGACTGCCATACTTAAATAATGAGTTACGCACAATTACATTGTTATATTAGAATTACACATTACAGAGATGATTCTGGTATCTTTGGGGTTAAACAGACTAGACAGCGGTCCCCCCTGGATGGGATGCCAATTCATCACAGGGATTACCCCCAAACAAAGCTGGTCTACATTTATACAGATTTGGGTGGACTAGAGCATTTGTGGGTATTCTGCTCAAGGTACAACTGCAGGGTCTTCAGCAGCAACCTGAACCCACAGCCACCAGTCACGAGTCCAAAGCCTTATCCACTACAATGGTGACAAATGGAACGTCAGTGAATGTGCACAGGTTTTTTTGGAGGCATTTGTGTGCAAGGAGTCACATTTTTAATGATCTCTTCTTTGCACTAAGAAAAAGTGAAAAAGTGAAAAGTAAAAGGGTAAAAACAAAACAGACCACACCTTTGGGTTTCAGTATTTCTTTTTTCTTCTTTTTTTTTTGGAGTGATACAACTACATAAATCAAGATTTTATAGAGGCCTCGCAATACAAGTACTTGACAATTTTTTTACAGCTATTAAGAAATTCTTAATAAACGATATTTCTGTACATTCTGCAAGATATGTTTTTAAACTTTTGACAGAAATCAGAAATGAAGCCCATGACTGGGCTAGACTGTCCCATCTTTCACACCACAGTATGTCTTTGTTTTAAAATGTGAAAGAACAACTTCGAACCTGCAGAGCCCTTCAAGGACATACATAGAAATGCCCTGCTCAGCTGAACGACATCCTGAATTTGCAAAAATAAAATATGTAATAAAGTCCTTAATCTGAGTCTCCACATGATGCCATAATTCTACCACACTTTTGAGACAGATGTCTCCAACTTTCCCCTGAGCCACACAGACCAAAAGTAAAGCACGCACCATTAGCAGAGAGAGGAAAGGGTTTTAAAAAGACTTCATGCCATTTGCATCTCTTCTTCATTTCATACTTGCTGCACATCCCACCCTACAAAGTACCACTAATTCTTTGTTGCCGCTTTCTGTTTTTCATTTCCTATGGTAACTAGCTGTCTGTGTCACATGATATATCTTCGCCCATGGCGCTTACTTAGATAAACTACACAGCAACTCTTCTTGCCAAAGTCGATCAACCTCCCACTGCTTATTTTACACGACAGCAAAGTTTCAGTTTTATAATCGCCCACAGCAATAAAGAACAGAGAAATATGCAGGTAACATAAGGTGTATGAAACACGATGAAAACAGATTTCTAAAACATATTATGCGCCTATGCAATATTCTATGTAAAGCATATCTCTATACTTTCCTGCTGTGAATAATATTTATTTTTCTGAAGAAGGCAAAAACATGCAGATCCATTGTGACAGTGAACTATTAAAGTTATTATTCTGATGTTCCAGGACCTGCTTGTGTTAGAAGTGTGGTAGAGGAAACACTGGTGGCAGAGTGCTGGGTGTAGTATACTATCCCCATTAGAGATTCTCTGTCCTAGATCCTGATTTTGTTTTAACTATGGGATGGCTCTCCCTTAAAGCAGGTAATAATCACTTACAAAGAAAGCAAATATACGAAATAAAACAGCAGGAAAATTCAGTGGTTATGAAAAATGTAACTTGCCCCAAGAATAAAAAATGACTGAAAGCTATAATTGTGGAAAGACAGTGGGCCACCATATCCATCAGAATTAACTATGCATAAAACACATTATAATGAACATGATTTTACTTTTTGGTAAACAATCACAAAACAGCATTTTCTCCTTCTCAATTTATGCAAGCTTATGTTTTGCCAAACGGCATCACTCCCTAACCCTGACAATTAAAATACAATAAGCAGCACAGATCGTATTAAGGGAATGCAATTCTCACAGCAGAATGCTTGTCATATAGAAATAAGCCTTTAAGCATCATTAAACAATACTTTTCATATTATTTCTTTGTTTAAATGAATATAATAAAATGGGTATTCTAAGGGAAGCTTAGTAAATCATCACCCACAAGATTCTTAAACCAGGTGGGAAATTTTTAGTTAAAAAACTTCTCCATAAAACTTTTTTTTAAACACAGAACACTGCTTTAACAGGTATAGTGACTTCCTTGACCCAACAAGCTCCTAAACTACGCCCCACTGACAGAAACCGGTGCTGGCCTCTAAAAAAGAATCAGGGATTTTGAAACAGTGAGCAAAGCGCACATTTTCAACTGATCAGTAAAGCAGAGAGCAGTTGATTCTATTCAGGAGTAATGTCAAGAGCAGTCAAAAACCCTGCACCTCACAGTGGTTTACTTTGGCATGCTTTTCACCCATTAAAACAGCCCCACAAGTACATTGGAGCAAACCTTCTCATTGAGAGCTTGAAGTTGAAAGAGAACTATCAATTGCCTGTGGGCATTTCTCCAGACACCACAGAACACAACTTGAGTTAAAGTCTAGAGTTTCAGTTGCTTTGGATGAAAGATCGAGAGAGTGTGCCTGGATCTCACATAGCAATGCCAGCTATACCACACACTGACATCTGTAAGTCACATTCATTGCACCCTGGTGACACACTTAAGATATCAGTGCAATACACAAAAGTGAAAGTAAAGGGTGGCAGGGGACTCAGATCAAGCCGATTCTGAAAACGTTCAGCTCTCAGTCTCTAGTGGAAGATGGGAATAAGACATTATTTCAGCACTACAGAATCCACAACTAAGGTAAATGCTTTCTGTGGTGAGGTACAGAATGAAAATTAATGGGAAGTAATGTGGGAGGTTTTTTTCAGTTTGCATTGTAATACACAAGTAATTGGTTTTCAGTAATTTCTATGAAAATACTTCTGCCTCCCCCAGAGAATGGAAAAGATTTATTCCTCATTTTGGCATGGAGGACAATCTAAAAAGGAGGCTGGATCAGTATTGCGGTTTGGTTTGGTTCTCTGCTCATGCTTTTTCTTTATCCAACTCCATTTTAACAATTAAAATCAGCGATCAGCTACCTTCTCTTCATCATTGTGTCACAACCAGAAAAGAAATTGCGGTTAGCTTTTTAATAGACAAAGTTTTCAGTTTTTTTAGCTTCAATAATACAACTTGACCTATAAGCTCTAATTATTAAAACATGAAAGGATTAAAATTACTTTTTATCAATTTAAAATTTTAATTCTGCTTAGCACTGATCAAACACTAGAATAACACACTGATCGGTTCCTTATGAATTAGACCAGCCTAGTGCTGCAATAACACTTACCCAGCTAGGTCTCAGTTCTCTTCTGCTCTTTGGAAAAAGAATGAGATGTCTTACTGCATTAGATTAGTATTGTCAGACAGGATTTAATTGCGGCTCCTAACACAAAAATGCGGCAATCAAGAGAAATCAGTGCAAAGTCTACCAGTTCTTAATTGTGGAGTGAAAACCAATGCAGAACTTAGCTGGAAAGGACATCCCAATAAAGCATTTCTAATTGTACATTCTTTGGAACCCTCAAGCTACACATTGTACTTTCTGTTCAACATGAGAAAACTTTTTTTCCGTAATCTCAGACAAAAACAACAGTTAAAAATAGCATTTTTAAATATAACATGCATTATGTAGGTTAAAAAATTCAAGTTGATAAACAGCAATAATAAACTATTTTAATGAACTTTAACTGTCATATAAGGGCCATTATCTAACGCATCCAAAACATTTTAAAACTCCCTAAAACTAGAAAAGTCACTAGGAAATGGCTCAGGCGAGCAGAAAACCAAACCAGAGCTCAAGCATACTCACTGATCCCAGTTACCCATATTTATTTCTATTACTTTAATGATGAAAAGCAGGGCTTTGGTGCCAGTAATTACAATCTGCAGCTTGAAAACAAGACTCTTCTCACATTTAAAAAAAGGGAACACTTAAAAAAATAAATATGTATAGAAAGGAGTGTGTTTTTATACAGACACTAATTTATATAAACACAAGAGAGCAAAAAAATGAAAGCACTCAGTACTTTTTATCTCCAAGACATGTCTCTTATACCCTTAGCTCTCAGATTTTCTTTTCCATTGTGCCACTGATAGAAGAGGGATATACTGGTAACCAAAAGACACTCCAGTGCATTACCCTTACCCACCAAGGTCCCTTAGCTTTTTTCCCCCTGTTTAAACTACCTAGCTTTTTGGTTGGACAAGTAGAATATATATTTTTTCAAATGTTCCCTCGCGAAGCACATAAAACACAATACAAGGACTCAGTTGAACTAGTCATATAGAACTCCTGAATAATAAAAAGGTATCCTTATTTTATCTCTTACATGAACTCAAATTTACAAAATGCTCTCTGTGGTTATTGTCGGCAATGTTGTTGGGGCCTGGCTCCCTCTCCCCCCCAGCCCTTTTCTAATAACTGCACCTCTTGAATTCTATTACTCTTCTTTTAATAAATAAATAAGATCAACATCTCATTGGGTCTTTGTATTTGTCTAAACCTTCCATTTTGTGTTGTTGCTTCTAACTTTTGCTCGTTTCCCACCTGCCTGCAGTTAGATTGAGGGAGACAGTGGGGGGGGGGGAGGACTGGAGGAGGGGGAGGGGGCTGGAGAGGGGAGGGGTCATTACTGCCCCTGATTGTCTGTCCCGTTCTTGTCTGGGGAGTTGGCAGTATTTAGAGAGTTGACCGTCCCGTCTGGCTGCTGCTGCATGGCATCGCGCCGGGGGGGCATCCTCTCGTTTATCCGGTCCAGGCCGCGGGCCTCCTCAAAGCTCCGGATTTTGTGTTGAGGAGAAAATCCTTGGATAGCTGCCGAAAGAGTTGGTGGAGGGAAAACAAGGAAAAAAAAAAGAAAGTCAACACACGCTGAGCCCAAAGGGAAACACCGCCCATCGTTGTGAGCTGTTTGGGAGATGTCTCTGAACACCTCTAAGCTAAGGGTACAACTTATGTAGGGCTTGGAACACTTAACATTTTAAATTTGTTTCTGAAAATGTATTTTTAACCACCCGCTAGGATGAAGTACTCACTTCAATATACCATTCTAGGAAAAGAGATCAATGATCTAATCAGTTTCTGGGGAGCAAAACTGAGCAAAACAAGTTTAGGAGACTTAAGATTTCTAGACAAGAAACCTACCCCTGGACCTTCTGACTGTAGGTATTCCTTATACAATCATGCAGCGGATGAATATTCCTTTATAATGCTAGTTAAAATCAGCAGGTACCATGATAAATTATTTGTGTAACTCTGTGTGTCTGGGCTTCAACATTTTGTGCTGAGTCAGTCAAATCTTGCAAAACTCTTATTTTTTTATTTGGGGATTTTTAATAGGGACTGCACTAGACCAAATTACTTGTTGAATTGGTGAACTTGTTGAAAACCTGAAAGTTGTTCTAAAGATAGAAAAGCTTATATATAATCCTAATGTTTTATCTCGCTTTTTATAATCTAAGAACTCCATTTTTATTCTTCAAAGGCAATTACACTACCCAACTAAGTCTTTCTATACATCTTTCTATACAGTCTTTCAGCACAGAGCTATATACTGTATGCTCTTAGGAGTTATACATGAAATTAAACTTCCTTGTGAGTGTTTTATCTGTACGTGGCACTGTAGACTCAGTGTTAGCACATACACAGTTAAATGGTTTAACAATGCAAAACACAGACAGACAGTTAGATATCCCATGGTATTGATTCCTTAGAATTTAGCTTCACATGTGTTAGTATTAAAAAACAAAGCTGGAACGTGCTTCCACTCCCTCAAAACAAAGCCAAAAGTTACATGAACAAGGTGTAGAAGGTGTTTTTTTGTTTAAATTCGTTCACTGGTAAATATATCTCAAATTCTTATTTTGTGGGCAGGTTTGCTATTTATTTTCCTGGTGTGAAACACCAGAATCATACATATACTCAGGCTGTCTTTTACTAATTTTGTTTTCAAAACACTGGACTACTTAAGACTTCTTTTCTAATCCAATGGCACGTTACTCCATTCTTCACGGAAAGAATAGCTCTCATTTCACTTACTCAGTAGCTTAATACAATTCAACTTAATTCATTGCACAAAGTAATTAATTGACAAGTTGCGTAAAGAACTTATTCAAAACAGAAAAGGTACCAGAACAACTCTTGTGTATTGCAGACGTAATCAACACTCACATCTGGTTGATCCCTAAAGAAAGTCTCCACACAAGAGTGAATTAACATGGACTGGAGAGGCCGCCATCATTTACTAGAAAGGATGGCACTGTAATGGCTTTGTGTACAAATCTAGGAAGGGAAATCACGTTCCATTCAAAACAATTCCTAATCTTGTGATATCATCTGGAATAGTGACTGAACAAAACTATTGTACGGAGGTTAGCACAGAACATAAAGACAGAAAGCTCAGTTACATTATATACTGTAAACAAAGATAATGAAGCTCTAGGCACTTATTGTTCCCATACTGAAACATGCACATACAGTACTAACCATGCTTCTGGGACTTCACTCCCATTAAATCAGCCAGGGTAGGAAATTTCTATGTATTTAGTTATTTGTATTTTTATTTATTTTTTTTTAATGTTGGAAAGGCTTTTTGCTTTGTCTAAAAAGAATACAAAAAGACAGCAAGATTTTGATGCATTTTGGGTTTCATCTGGGAATAAAAAGCACGCACAGCCTTACGCTTCACTTCTTCTATTTACATTGTTAGTACCACAATATTTTGATACAGAAGGAACAAGAAAGCAACAACACAATACGTTTGGATACACAAAAACGAGACAAGCGCACAAACATTCTAAAAAAGTACCTGCTGCCAGAAAACCTTAAGATGTGCTTATTTAAAGTAAAAAAGGTTGTTTTTGCATTGCATGTAGCAATTTCTCCCTATAATGTATTCAGTTCATCTGTTTTGATCATTGTTTAGCAGGCAGTTAATTCCTCTAAGGAATACTCTCATTCCACTTTAGGGATGGCACTTATTCTTGTTTCATAAAAAAATCAAATTTTTAAATTAATTTTCCAAAACCAGGCAGGATTATAATGAGACTGGATACATAAAACTAGTTCTTGGAAGCTAGTTAAAGCCATGACTATAAAGAATATAAAGAATAATTCACCCCAAATAATTCACTGAGCAAAATCGGTGCCAGGCAACAATTGCTTGATAAAGCCTTTTCATTTCTCAGCTTTTTTTCCTGAATGATTGCTCTACTCGTGTTTGTGACTCACAGGAGGTGTTACACCGATAGTACTAGAGATTGAAATATTTGTGTGCGGAGGAAGCAGAGAAGAGCCAGATGGAACAAATGCTTTCTCACTTCGCTATGCCACCTTATCCTAGAGCCTTCACCACATTACAGTGTGGGTCCACAGCCAACCAGCCTCTGACTCTTTCTTGATGACAGTCTGGGCAACTGCAACAGTTTAGCATAACACCTTTCTGCTGTGGCCACACTTTTCTGTGTGATGTAGAATTTATTTATTTAATAAAGCTGCCTTCAATCTTCCTTTGAATGAAACTAAAATGCTCACCTCATTGACTCTGTAACAGTTTTTTTTTCTCTTCTGAACTAAGATCAGATTCATTAGTCAATGACGCACAATTTTTAGGTCACAACTGTCACAGTAGGATGGCTGCAGCAACACAGATCGAAGAAACTGGTTGATTTCAAACGTGCCCAGCCATGACTGGTTGGTGGTAAAGCCATAAGAGCACCAATACCAGTCAACTAAACATCATAGCTTATATATGAACCATATACTTCTCTTGTGCCTCTGTTGAGTGGTTAACAAACTGGGTAGTGCACAACATACAGTATACTGTATGTAAAAACAGGCAGTCAGGTACTTTTTAACATTAAAAATAGTAATAAAATAAACAAACAATACACACATCAAATAAAAAACACCATAAGGTTTTTCCTTTAGTCAGACATCACTTATATGGAGAGAGGTAATTTCAGGCATCATATAACGAAAAGTGTTTATTCTTGCACAACCAGGAGTCTTGCAGTCTTCCAGGCACTGATGAAAGATGCTTAAGGGTACTGTATTTAATGACACTGATTTGCAGCCATTATTAACAGCAAGCTTAAGTTCTGATACCCATGCTTGTTTCTGACATGCACTTTAGCTAGAATAGCTACTGGGGCCTTTTTTTGCACACAACGGTTTGTGCCTCATGCAGAAAGGGTACAGCAGTCTCAGGCAAAGTGTTACTTTTCACAATCATTAAACATAGTGAGTTAAGTAACAAGCAATGTCACAAATGAGATTCGAAAAATGGCATTGAGAAATAAGGAAGAGTAAAATAATATACCAACAAGATCACAAGTGGATGTCTTGTACAAAAAAACTTTATGAATAGGTCAATATGAATAAAACTAAAAAATAAATAAAAATCTTGTGTGAATGTTCAGTTAAATCAACAGATTTTGGCCAGCTGGCGATGACTGTAAATGTGACAAAGATGTACATTTATTATACCATGCCTTTGTTGTGCTTCTTCTGGAAAAAGTCTTTATTTTAGTTTCCTGGGAAGACAATGCTATTTTTAGTGAGCTGAACAATTGATCATGTTGTCAGTTTAAACAATCCATGGTTTCACTATTTTGCCATCAAATTTCAGTGACCTGTACAGTTGGTGGTACCTGGGATAGGACACCTTTATGATTGTTCGACAAACATCAACTTGATATCTATGAAATCTTGGACCTGTAAAACTAGCTGCACCCTAGTCTTTTATTATAGATAAATCCATATTAACCGTAAATGAGAACTGAATCTACATTAGAATAGAAACTTTGGGATTCAAAACTCAAGATGATCTCAAGCAAACCTGTTGCAGAACTCAAACCTAGGTGAAACAACATTGGGGATTTGGAATTTTTCCATTTTAAGATTAGAATTTATACAAACTAAATCTTTAAACAGTAAATAAGCTCCATTTTAAAGAAAAACTGAAAGCTAAGGATATTCTTCCAAAAACACCAGAGAAAATTGCAATATCACAGTGTTAACCTCTGCTTCTGGGGTTTTTCCCATAGTGAGGTGATGTTATGAACCATTTCTTACACAGCTGAGCCTTTTTCATTTTGTCCTAACAAAACACCTAACAAATACTTCTATAGAAACAAATATCTATCATCTATCTATAACAGTTTCAGGTTTTCAGTATACTACTATGGAATAAAACAAATATGAAGAATTAAAAAAAGGAAAAACGGGATATGTTTAGATTCCATTAAGGTTTTTACAAAATACTGCAGGTCTTAGTGCAAATCAGCCTCAACGGATAAAAGGCATGTCTGAAACCAGCAAGTTAAATCCTTGACACTTCAAAACTTTGCTTCTCAGGTCTCACATGTAAAGTGAAAAGTGGAAACACTAGAAACTAATTTTAGGATTTTAGGAATGAAAACAAGAAGAATTTAACACTCTTGAGGACCAGGAGAACAACTGCTTTCATTAATGTTACCATCACCTAGAAATACAAAGCCAGGGATTCCTATCCTCCTTTCCCTGCTGACATGTACATGATGCTTATAAAACAAGCTAGGGAAAAATGTAAAAATAAGCATCATCTGACTTCTCAGTTCCATCTTGCTACGTGGTTGGTTTGAACTCCATTCAGATCGCAGTCCCTGGTGGTGCAAGAGTATCCATTTTCCACATGGTACCATATTAAAGCAATGTCCCAAAAATAAAAAGTAACATAAAAGCAAAAAGATATATACAGAGACAACAGACCACGCATTGGACGCATCAGGGGTATACAACACAAAACACTGAGAAGGTTCCACTTGCGTACCTCGTGCCTCCTCAGCTTCTACGGTGGCTGTGTAAAGTGTGAGTAGTAGTGCCATGCCAAAAATGAATGAAAAAGAGTGAGTTAAGTTATCAATGCATCCAGAGATCCCACCCGCACATCCATCAACCCCCCCCCCCAACAACATTCCTTTTGAAAATGAAAGCGAGGGGTTAGACAAAGTCAAGTCAAGTTAGTTGAAAAAAGGCATAAAGTGAGATGCAGCATAAAAAAGCCCACTTTTCCTCGCCTCTGTTCATGAGACCTCCCCGTGTCTTCCATCTGTAAAGCACGCCAAAATACCACCCCCTCAGCTCTGGATGCCATCTAATCAAAAACAAGCTATCAGCCTTTCACTCTTACAACAGCCCTGGCTTCCCATGGATTCTCCTCGTCTTGGCTCCGATTCCCCTCATCCTTGTCAATTCCTAGCCTTTATCATTTAGCATTCATTTGAATGCTACTAGCAAGACCATAGAAACAGCGGATTTATAGTCATCGTTGAATTGTGATATGTGCAATGCTGCCAGCCGGATTAGCTGGAAAAAAAGGCAAATGAAAAAACACCTTGAAACTGCGTTATGCACTATAAAGGCCATCTTGCAGAATCAGATGTACTGTACGTATTTACTGCTATATGTAGTTCACACCGTACCAGTATTACCTAAAATTCAGGGCATTAAGTATTGGCACTGAGTATGTCATACATGCTTACTTGATAGGTATTAAAGGGTAAAAAATGTTTTTATAAGCCATATTTTTCAGGGCTTGCTAATTAAGTGCATGTTCCTATGAATTATTTAAGGATAAAGTCTACCAATATTAATCTTTGCAAGTGTTTGAACACATGAGATACTGAAAAGCAGTTATTAACATACAGGATGATCATATTCCTAAATGCAAAAGAGAAACTGCAGCTTCATGTCACATGATCTCAGAAGGGAAACGGTTAAGCAGCCATGGTATTTTCTGTACTGAAGAACTGCTAGATCTCTGTGGGTGAATGCTACAAGATACTCATGCAAGAACTTCAATTCTAGCTAATGGAACACTAACCAAGACTAAGTGTTTTTAACAGCCTCCATGGCCAACGGTTTCCATGGAAACCTGACCAGTAATCCAAGGTCATTGGGGAGAAGACTGAAAATAGGCAATCTTAATCCTTTCATCAATACAATTAATTTCCATATAGGAAATATGAGAGCACTTACTGCTGTAGATGTGAATGTGCTGCTGTGGAGCTGGGTGTATGAACGTCACACTGTGCTGCTGTGCGCTTTCACACCAAACTATGGCACACTACATGCTAGCTATTCCATCCTGAGGCTATTTTCAAGACTCCTACGGCCATTTAATTTGAACTGCAGTGTTGAACTAGTAATGTGGCAATGTTTCATTTCTCTGCTACTGAGGGGAACTTGATGTCCTTCAGTGCTGATGATAATCCATTGTTAGAATGTATGCGTTTTTAAAACTATGTAAAAAGCCAAAACTGCATGAAGTGTTATTTCTTACTCTTTACATGCATTTTGTTTCAAAAGCATTTTCTCAGGGTACAGCTGATATCTAAGGCATTTTCTAAGGCTTGGCTGAATCTAAGATCTCAGTGCATCACTGAGAAACCCAACAAATAAATATGGCTCTGTTTTACAGGCAAACCTTGACTCATGACTGCAAATTCCAGCAGTTTTTATTACATGAAAGGGGATTACGTCCCACCTCAGGAAATACATAATCCCTTTACAGCTAATTAAAATAAAATTTCTAAAGCACATATTAGACAAGGCATTTTTCCCTTACTGCTTTATTGCAAAGCCTGTGCAGATTCTGACATTGGTTTCCTCTCCTGAGGAATTAAAGTAATATGTTTTAGGTTTTCATTAACAACAAATTTCTCCCAACCTCCAGCAACCTTTCCATGTTATTTTAAAAGTTAAAGCTATTTTATTGTTAGTGTTTAAGAAGAAAAATCTCCAGTAGGTGTAAGCAGTACAGTTGTTTAAAAAGCACCAGCATATAGCCAGGCTCTCAATATATTTATTAGTATATTTGTCAGTATGTCATACTGTCCAATATTTCTTTCATAATTGTTTCCTGGTACAATACCATGCTACCTTAACCACTGGTTAGAAATGTGCAAAGAGCTATACTCTTTGTGTTCCCTCAGACTATAACACCAAATAGCCAAACACCACACATATACAATGAAATGTGTGGTGTCTAATTAAGGGAAATCCAGAATTGGGCATTTACTAACAAGAAAGTGATAGGGACCTCAAAATGAAATAAAGGGGAAAAAGCATTGCTGTAACTACAATTTCAGTGATGCAGTACAGTATCGCCTGATGCTATATCTCTTTTTTTGAGAAATCTTTCTCATCTTTATACATCCTTTATGGTATCAGGGTAGCCGGAGCCTATCCCAAAAACAAAAGATTGGATACTTCCTGGCCAGTAGAATGGAAACTTTGGGAAACATTATTATATTAAGAGATGTTTCAAGGAAGAGTGATTTCCCTACTGACTTAAATGCAAACAACTGACTTCTTTGCTGTTGGCTTATATTCATCTGACAATCCTCTGTTCACAGTGTTGGCATTAACAGACTAACATGAAGCTTAATACGGTTGTTACACAGAACCAGCTGATGTGGCTGGGCTTCCAAGTAAGGCATAACGTTTAAGGAAGAGTTGTACTTTATCGCAATAAACAGCTCTTTCAACAATATGCAGTCCAAGATTTTCTAAAAGTTTTCCTTATGGGGAAAAAAAAAACTTTTAGGTAGTGAAGGAACAAAATAAGAGAAAGGTAAAATGCCATAAGCTAGATGCAAAATGTGTTTTTCAAATGCAGTGGGAAGCAGCAAGCTCAATTACACACAAACACAACAGAGCACTTTGGTTATGTAGAGAGAAGTTTAATGCACTACCTTCAACAGTTCGATGCTTTCTTTTGCTATCATTCAGAAGAAATTAGTTCTTCATATCAGAAGACTTCACAAACCTGATGTCTTGTTAAAGTTTTTTATTGCAAGTTTCAGATGCATGAACCTTGAAATTTGTAATCACCGCAAAAAAAGCTCAGAATTACAGGCAACATTCTGCACGTGAAAAGGCTATAAATAAGAATGGTCCTTTAAGTTAAGCTTGTATTTTTTTCTATTCTTCCCAAAAGCTATCCATAAAATTATGCTGATAATATTCTTTCCTATCCTGACCTGTGGACATTTCAGCAAAAGATTAGCAAAATTTTAGTATTAATACCCACTGGGACTCTCATGTCTTTCATGCTGTTGCCCCAGTTACACTACAAAAATGTAACCTTAGGAAATGCATCAGCTGAAAACGTCATCATTCCCAGTTGGGAGGCCTGAGAGGTTGCTAAAATGCCATTGTAATTCAGCTCATCGTGTTTATATTGATGAAAAGTGGGCAAATGAGAACACTTCACTGCATTTATGGGTTTCATTTACCGTATACAGGAAACTAAAACACTAACTGAAATTCCTGGAAAATTACCATCAGGTAAATTACTTGACTAATTTTATGTTTGCTTTTAATGTCATTTAAGCAGTTACACGTTTTTTAAATGCAACTAGAATGCTCAAACAACTTCAGCAAAAACTGAAGCATGTTAACTGCAAAAGAATTCAGATTCATTAATAAAAATTCATTAGGAAATAATCCTAAACCTGTTATATCTATGTCCGTTAAATTGAGGTTTTACTATATATTGTTCCACTTAAATACCCATCAGTTTCCCAGTCCCTTCTAGACTAAAAAGTTACAATTTTGTCTAACCACCTCTTCTACTAAACGTTAGCATGTTCAAAGAGATATTAAGAATCTGAGAATGTTTTTTATGCTCTTCTCCTGATCTGTGCTTTCATACAACTTTATCCTTGGGTTCTTTTGAAATCTCCTCTGTCTTCAAGGTTTAATCTTTGCTTGGAATATTCATTTAGGATGGTCTCAGCAGAGGGTTTGAATGCTCATATAATTATGACTTTTCATATGTTTTTTTTTTGTTTTCAATGTGTGGAGGAGATTGTGTAACAATTAAAGGTCTGAATACTTCTGCAAGGCACTGTAAGTCAAAATGACCTGATCTTTAATTCTGGCTCTGAGCTGATGGAATTAGAACGTGGCCACTAACATATTTGTCATCCAAACTGGTCAACACCTAGCTTAAGGGCGGAGTTATAGGTCAGGTTGTTTAAAAAAATAATCTCTCAAGCCCTATCAAAGGCAGCAAAAAAAACCATCATCCTTCAGATTCTTACTCCACATCTGGTAAGGGCAGACCGCACCTCTTTTACCTGGTTTTAAAATCTTTCTTATAAACGATACCTTTTATGTGTGGCTATCTTACATTCTAGTTATCACTGCTTAGTTATGTGTGCCCATGGCAATCTCTGCATCACTTTTCTAAATGCTAAACAACTTGCTATGCTCTAACTGCAGTCCATGCTCAAGACCTGGTGCAGTGCTCTGTGGTGTATGGTGGGGTTGACAGCAGGAAACAGCTTGGCGTATGTAAGCTTGCAAGAGCAAGAGCAGCAGCATAAGGAGAGGATTTTGGGAAGGTGGTTGTGGGGTTTTTATAATTTAACTTACCGCTCTGGAGGGTCTGTCGACCCCCTGACAGCACTCCCAGGGGTAGAGTCCCAGTTGGGGTTAACCCTTTGAGCTGCAGCACACTCTCACTCTCCTCTCTGTGCAAACAAGAAGACACTACATATCAGCCATCCACTGTGGTCCATGAAAATCCACGCGCCCAGATAGAGAAATCCTACCTTTGCTTATAATTAATTACTTTTGCAGACTTATCCGTCGGGGGTTGAGAAGTTAACATTTCACTTTGAATGTAATATTACACATTTACATTTATATCACATGCTTAACAGAGTGGTCAAACAAACTGAACTCTGTCACTTAAACAAGTGAATCAAAACAGTGCAAAAAACAGTAGTTGTAAAGTCTTACTATGATGTGTACAATATACAGTATTAACACATTCTAAGACAACAATGAAGGATTTTTCAAGCACAATCATTAGTAAATGATGCTAAAATGTTATCCACAGCAGAGTTTCTTCCAAATGCAAGGTATTATGTAGGGACATAGGAAAATGTCCTTTTATATTTATTTGTATCATGAAATTTGACTCAAACCCATGTATACAGCTTCTTCACGAACACTGTAACATTTGCTTTTCATTCTTAGTTTTACTTAGTGTGATAACAGAGAGTGCTGAACTCCAGACTCTGTGCTTGAATCTGTGGCCTCACATCTCGCACATCATGTCAGAAAAAACACCATTGAAGCCACCGGTACATTTAAACACATTTTAGTAATAATTCAAACAAAACAAGCAAAACTAGAGCAGGTCTAAATAGGACACAGATATGCAAATGTCAGATCACTCTGTGTAAGATGAGGTAAGGTGGTAATGGTTGTGATTGTACCTGCTGGAGTACATCACATTCTCCAGGCCACAGGGGCAGCTGTGATTACATAATTCTTATTTAAATTAGTAAAAATCAGCAAAATATAACATTAACAACACAACGCAATTCAAGGGTATTCTATTCTTAAAATGATATTTCTTTCTAGATCAAAAGAGCTTTGCAAGAGCACTTTGAGTCTTGTACTTCATAATTATGGAAAATGAGATACTCGGATACTTGGAAATCTTCTTCTCTCCTGCACTACCTTTGGATTAATTCATTGTTTTTGGCTAAGGTCTTGAGGTAATAACACAAATCATCCTATGCCTCAACCTTTTAGAATCTCTAGGAAGGTTCACCAACAATCCAGAATTTTCTGGATTTTTCTGGAATTAGGTTCTGCATGATTATACTGCGTTTTGTGGTGCTTTGCAGACAATGCCAATTTTTTGTCAATTAGTATTAACACTTTGGTGCAGTATTTTGGGGATTTACAAAAAGAAAATGCTAAAATAAAAAGTTCGACAAATTCTTTGGTAATTTTTTTCTAATTTTCAAGACCAAAAACCAGTGTGATTATCATACCTTGACAGATTATACAGTATGTCTTTTGACAGCCTTTACCTCCAGACAGAGAAATGTGTATTCAACCTGAGCTGTGCTTATCTCTGCTGGTCAATTAAATGGAGGTTTTAAGTGATAGAAATATCTCTGCTGTCTGACCTTTCAGAGTGTCAGCACAGGCAGCATTTCTCTACTTCCTCCCTGAGGAAAGGCTGCTGACAAATTTGATCCTTATCAGTGACAACCAGATGCCCTGACCGGAAGTGACTATGCAAGCCTGACAGGTTTCAGTCATTGGAGCAGACATTGTGTAGTTCACATCACCATGACACTCAGGAATTCCCTGCACCCAGGACATGAATATACCTTTCTGATTTTACATTGGTTCAGACTGCAGAGTGCTATGGTGAGTGTTCTACCACATAACAGGGCTTGGGAACACATGCAATGAAACTAATTATTTTGTATTTTTCTGGCAGGCAGTGTGAAAGAAAACAATCAACAATTTTGTTTATAATGTAACATAAGATCGGTCCCTCAAAACCTTTTAAGGACAAAAACTGAAATACCTGAAAGGATAAGTAAGTATAAAAGGTTAGAGAAGACAATCCATTTATTGCCAAGTTAAGATTCTAGTTAAGTTTCAGATTCTATATATGTTGAAGAGCTATTTTCCACCTATTTGGTCTTAGCAATCTTAATTAAACAAAACATATTGGATATAATAACATATTAAACATAATATTAAAATCTAATCAAGCTTCCTTCTACATGAGCTGTCAAATTATTGAACAATAACATAATTGTACACAGCATTCTTAAAATAAATTAAATAAAAAGCCATTACTTTGTAACTGTACATTCCTTTTTAAAAATGTTGGTTTGGGTAGCATTCTGTTAAAAGTTAAATCAGAATCAGTTCTGTTCTTTATAATGCCTTCCTTGTTGCAGTTGGTCCCCCCAGTTCCTCAGAAGCATACCGTCTCGAACAACGCTGCATTGAATTCATACTGGGACTACTACATTTCGATTTCTGCCACTGGTTGCATGTGTTACTAATTAGGATATGTGCATTTTATTTCCTCTTGAAACCACGGCATAAAATACAAAATGTATTCCATACCTGAGAACAGAGAAGACTCTGGCCATTTTGCCAATGGCTCGGATTTTGTTCCTGATGACCTCCTTACGAACTGCTGGGGTGCCACCTGTCACAGAGAAATAAAAACACATTTTATAGTGTTCACTGAGGCTATTTTTTCAGAGCCTTTACATGATGGATGGAGGTAGGGAATACATCAGAGCAGTGAAGACTAAAGATCTCTCTGAGCTCCTAGTTCCCCATCCATCCCCATCCAGGTCTCGGGGATAGACTTGTATCTTTTTAGAACCTCACCATTCATTTACCAATTTAATCTTTCACAGTTCTCACACTGATTTTCATTTGTTTGGACATAGTTTTTCACCTGCTGTATGCCATCAGCTGCTCAGTCCTTTCTTCTTATATGCTTTCTATCAGCGCTACTGTCCACTTTCTCCCACACACCTGAATAAGGTTCAACAGCCGAAACAGTATTCTTTCTGCTTTTCAACACAACTCTACTGGCGCCATGTTAAATTGAGGATAAATAAATATTTAACACTGCACTGTTAGCACAATGTGTACCAAACAACTGCACCACACAGTTCTTAAAAATGTGTATCAGTTTTCTCCATTATTCCTAATTTTAAACTTTCTCTCAATACACTGTACATTTCTGTACATTTGTATCCCTAAAATATAGTGATTCTGGGAATCACACACTTAAGCTGCCAAGATGCATCACCTGAGTTAGAATGAGAAGCAACAATACCAAAAAAAAAAACATAGAAAGGAAATAAAATGAAATAAGGATGATCCACAAATCAGTATTCGTATATTAAAATAATCAGTAAAGTAGATTTCACATCCCATCTAATGTCATGCAACTGCAGTATAACAGTGTAACAACCACATATGGAGAGTCAAAAGAACTAAAAATCTGATTTAATTTAAAGGGTCCAAAACATGTCTACAAAAAAATGGCTTCAGAGATCTTATAGGAGCACAAGGTTCTGACAAAGTCAACTCGAAAGACTATGTCAAACCACAGAAATCAGCGTAAGAACACTGATATTAAAATGAAAAGCAAATCATTTCCAAGAAAGGGAGGGCCTTCTTGTAACATAGCCTCCAAGACATGAAAACCCACAGAGAAAGTATGTTGTGGATGCAGAAAGATTATTGATCATTCAAGAAAATGTCTGATACTTTGTGGTGTTAACTGCACAGATGGCCTCTTTGTATTTGATATTTTTCCTAATTAGGGACTGGGAGTATGAAACATAAATATAAACAAGATGGATATGACTTTAGAACACCTTAGTGACACCTTAGGCAGAAAAACAAATATGAAATCACACACTATTAGAAATGCTGCATATAACAGTTTTATACCTTGTAAGTTATTATATGACCTGTACTCTAACTCCAGACTTTGCATTTACATCACAAGGCACACATCATGTAAAAATAAACTCAACAGAAATCTTTATAAACTGAAATCCCATATTAAAATCCACTGGATTGTGGTACACTGTGTGCACCCATTCTACAGTGTCATCTCAGCTTGCAGCACAAATTTATACAAGCTCTATGTTACATGATGAAGCACATTTTGTGGGACATTCTTGGAATGGAATTTTCAAATTCATGTTAGCACACTTTTTCAAAAATAACCTTTTTTGTTTTTGTTTACAACCTCACATAGGATAGCAATTCTCAGAAAATAAATGGAAACAGTATGCTGAGGATTTTATACTTTTCAATGGAGGACTTTTAGCATTAAATTATTCTTCTATTGCTACTGATCAAGACACATCTTACAGTACATACTCAGTAATTCCTAAATATAGTGGTCTCACACGACACATCTGCAGAATAAGGGCAAGTGGATAGCTGCGCCAGTATGCGTAGGCTGCAAAGGAACAAGTTAAGGTTTATTTCATGCTGAAAAGAGAAAAAGAGAAAAACAATGTTTTGGCTGTGGAGCAGGAGAGAAGCAGAATGAGCAATCAGGTGGAGTGAAGTTGAGAGAGGTGCGAAGTCAAAACCTGCAGATGAATAGAGAGGATTAGAAGGAAATGGGTCTGTTGTTGAGAGAAGGGGGTATGTGTAATCCTACTTTCAGGATAATTTTGGTTTTGGACGTCTTTCTGCAATAGGAGTTGAGAAACCCTTCTTTGAGAACGCAGACGGAGAGCGTGACATGATCAGTGTGATCATGGCCATTAGAGGTGAAATGAAAAACTATCAGCTTGGAGAAATCTTTGATATTCACAGCCCTGACATCTTCCCTGAAGTTCCAAAGTTCACATCAAAAATATTTTGCACAATAAAGCTGTTCTTCTTGGGGATATTGATTTAATTGACTTAATTGACAGGACTGCTGTGGGAAGACCGAAGTTTTCTTGGGGTTGTGGCAGGCAGGGTTTCTTTTAGCTACATTCGGCGGTTTGGACAGCTGAGCATCTCTGAGGGTCCACTGGGACAGGTTGTCAAGCACTAGGCTGTATGGCAGAGAGAAACTGCAGGAGTAGAGTCCAGTCCATCACAGCAGTCTGGCACACAGTGACAGCTCCAGCTCCAAGAGGGAGTGTCAGCTCAGAGACAGACAGCTCCTTTGCAGACCCTCAGCTCATTCAACAGAGCCCAGAACCAGAAATGCTACTAAAGCTTTATGGTGTATATATGCAACTTTACTGTTTCATGTACAGCAACACATTTAATTGGTAATGTCTGGGTTGCTGTTGCAAATTACAATTGTTTAGTGGTGCAGATCACAGTAGTTTTGTTATCCATCTCTTCATGACAAAATGCACAGTGTACCAGTACAATCATGCAGCTGCCTTCTTTAGATTGTTTACTATCCACTGAAGGGGAAGATTAATAACCCCAAGACAAGCTAAATATAATTTATTAAAGACTGCCTTATTCATTTTGGACTTTGGTTTCAAGATAGAGATAATAATGAAAAATAAAGATTTACTGGCCATTTAACTGCACAGTTGCACTATCATTAACATTGCATTAACCGTATATGTTTCAAAAGCTGTCAAATGGTTGCACATTGAGATCACACTTTCCTAAAATGTACGACCTTCAAAAAGCTAAACCACAGTGTTTTTTCAACTAATATTTGCGTACTTCCTTAAGTCCTTATCTGACTTTCAAGTTATCAACAAGGAAGCTTGTTTTAACACTTCCTCATTCTGTACAAAACTTTCTTTCTTTGCCTTTACAAGACTCTAAAAATAATTATATAGTGATCATTGAAAGAAATGCAGTACTTATAAGTATAATAATTTAAATATTATCAGGCAATATTATTTGTAACAACTGTACTGACATTTTATTGAACAGACCTGACAAGTGATTATGTTGATCAACCTTGTTGAATTCAAACGCTAAACAGGGGAAAGTAACAAGTGACAGTAGTTGCATGTATGGGCATCAATGGAGCAAAACATCTGGAGTGCATGCTTTACATTAAACTGTAGATGCGGTCTTGCTTGATTCTGTTAGATTGTCTCATTCTTCTTGTAGAACTTGCACAACCTGCACCTGGTTCCACAACCCTATATGACACACGTAGTCCCAGCCGGCTATTGTCCAAGGCATAACTGTCACATTCTCATCTTGCACAAAAGCAACTGTTAATCTCACTGTAAGGACCAAAACTGAGGTCCCATTACTTGATCACTGTAGTGCAGTGCAGTCAGGTTTGCATCAATCACAAGTGGAGTTCTATAATGACAAGATACATCTGCCAGACCCATCACACTCCAAACTTCCTCTTTGATTGGTTTACTGTACACAACAATCAGCAATCATTATTCTGCATGTCTGCACCTGTTTTGCAGAAGTCCATCAAAATGATCTATGCAAAACATTGATTCATCACTAAGAAGACTGCTCAGTGAATCCAGCTGAGGTACAGCTCTAATATACTGCTGACATGAAGAAGCTGTTCTCTTGATAAGCAGGGCATACCATCTCCTATTATCTTTCCTGATTTTTTAATGTTTTGACATTTAATAGGTTAAAACACCATCACCTGTGTCCAATCAACAGTCTCAATGAGACAATTTAGGACTTTCATAACCGTTAAAGTTATTCAAGGGTATCACAGTCACGAATGATCAATTAATTAAACTAATACCAAAATTTACATCAATATAAAATCGCAATATGCTTTATTTCTTCAAAACCATAAATGCATAAGTAATGTAATAGATTTCTTTTAGTGAACCATAGAGAGCATACAGTGACCTGAAACACTTTCAAGAGCTGCTCAAACGGCTCTTCTTTTTGCAATTCAAGTGCAATAATCAAGAAATTGACCAAGCCTTTGCTTTTATGAAAAGAGCTCCTTATTGCAGCTCTTTCTGAATGCTCACTTTTTCACTAAAGCTGTTTAATTTTAGAGGTGTCAGACATGATTTTCACACGATGTAAACCAGTGTATAGGGATACTCTACAGAAAGCAGAGCACAGTTACCTGCTAGGAAAGACAGGGTCTATTTTTAGCAATCTACTTATTCATATTTCAGTTCATTGCTTTGATACATTGCCTTTCAACTGCATTTCTCTGTCCTCTGTGCTGGAGTCAGAATATGAGAGCAAAGTGGTTATTTAAAATTAATTTTAAAAAAGTCTGTAATATTCAAAACAAAACAACAGAATTTATTAATTGGTCACTACAGTTTTGGCATTGGGTAACATGAATCATCATGTTTGTTAACGCAAGATGTTGCATGCTTAACTGGTAATGGGTTCCAGGAAGCCTCATTGTGGAAACATTGCATTTTTAAACAAAAATTCTAAATACAAGGAACGATTTAATGTTTGAATTACACCAACTACACCAAGTTGTACCAAACCTAGATTTGCAACCTGATCACTGTCACATTTCTGTTTAGTTTTTAATCTAGAAATATGATCATACAGATCATCAGACATTTAGGTTAAAAACATTAAGTTATGTGTTTAACATTTTACAGCATATCACACCATATATATATTGAAAAAATGTAATATGCAAAATATATTGAATTCTGTAGCATATGTTGGAGTTGCTTCAAACAACACTAAAAGCAGTAAAGTGTCAGCGTTAAAAATTTAGAAACCACACTGCATTTTCCAAATCGCTGTTCACTCTGTGTGCAGTTAAAGCTGTAAGTAGCATTATTTATTTTTTACTGTAATTAATGTACAGCCACAACAGTTAGAAAACTCTCTGGTTATAAGGGGAAAATGGGGAAACACATGCTGGTTTCTTTCTCTGGAAATATTCATTTTGTCCTCTGACCTTTGTGAGTATATTCCAAAACACTGGTAGTTTAAGAGATTCAGAAAAGCTAAAGCTGTCTGTATACTGCAGTTCACTCATATTTTTCACTCATCTGCAAGCAAGTAGTCTATTTTTTAACTGAACTATATACCACGCTGCTAAGATTTTCAAGGGACTAATTACATAAAAAATGCTACAGAATACAGCAAGACTAAAATAAACTGCACCAATATGACTTTAGTCACAGGTCAGTGATTATTACAAAACATACAATGTGTGATTCTGTGTTTTCCCTACGTTGAACAGGTGTGGTTTGTGTTTCAGGAACTGCCTTACTTACAACTAAGGCCTTACTTATTTCTGATTAAGGAAACTGATAGATATAAATTCTTTTGATGTTAAGTTGTACTACCAAAGTTCACATTAGTACTTTATCTGTTCAGAAGAAAACGCTTTGTACAGATCACGGCCTTCCCACATTCTGTACTGTGAGCTAAAAAGAAATCTCTGTGGATGCGTTCTCTTAAATAGTTACAGAGGATTTAATTTTGAACAGTATGCTCCAAGTATGGAATTCTTCAGATAAGAAAAAACAATTCATAACTCAACTTGACTTTAGCGTTATTCCAGTTGAATTCACATTGAAATCCTCCACAATTTCCTCATCTTTGTGTCAGGAGCTGTAGTCTTGCAAGGTCTATGCATATTCACTGTCAGCTTTTAAAGAAGAAAGTCTTCTTATCCATATCCTGTCACCTTATAATAAACTAGTGTAAAGTGAATTTATTTTCTTTTCCAGTTCCGAGTGATTTGAAAAAACAAAAGAAGATCTTATGTGTTTGTAAACCCATGGTTTCAATGGTCCATTCAATTACTACATTACCCTTCCAGCCCACATCTGAGATGGGGGGATGACTATTAAAAAAACATCCTAATGAATGGTGAGAGAATTTTGAATTGAGCGGGTATGATTGATATCAGTGTCTGTTAAAACTGGCATGACTGCAACTCTGACACCTTTTGACTTGATTTTGGTGTCTTACCTTCACAGGTGTCATCTCCCTCTGACATGAGTTCATCATCAGAGCAGATGTTCAGGACGTTCACCAGCATTTCTGTCACTGCAGCCAAAAATAATGACATCTGAGTTAAATGCTATTTGTGGTGCATAGCAAATTTGTTTTCATTTTTGTAAATAAATTATGAGGAGAGACTGGAATATTAACCATTATAATTAAAAGTAAATGCTGTGAGGAACAAAATGCAACACAAAAAAAACAGTTTCCATTTTGAAGACGTCACCACTCCAGTATAGTTCACATTATGACACTGGTGACATGTGGATAAGTTGGAGGCAAAGATCCTAATGAAGCTGAAAGAAGAGTAAAAAAAATACTATTGTAGTGACTTAGGTAGACATTCCAAGACACAGGAAGTTTTGAAACACACTGTGAACTGTGTAATGACCAAAAACAAAGTAAAGCTAAAACTTTTGATTCCTATGAGTAGCAGCACAGATTTACTAGGAGTCCTTGATAAGAAATGGAAAAATAAAATATAAGAACGGTTGAACTGTGATTCTGCTCCAAAAAAAAACAGAAGTTACTGATAAACTATCCTCAGTACCTTGATACAGCTTGATGTGAGTCTACAACCTGTGATAAGTTCAATGGACAGAAAAGTTGGGTAAAAACAATTACAACAGAACTAGCCAAACAGCTTTAAGGTGACCCTCCTCAGTCAACAATAGTGAACAGAAGATCAGTCACATGAGAGATGTGACAGCCAAAGTTAGAAAATTTTAAAACAAAGTGGAGACCAAACAGCTAAATTTAATTGTCACAGGCTGGTTTCTCCCATCATTTTGCTCTTGTGCAGATTTTGGGTTAGTACTTTCTGCCTTTTCCTTCTGGTAATTATGAATAATGCAGCAAAATAAGACATTGGACAAGATCATTAGAGCCAGAGCCTTTTCAGCTTTATTGGCTTGATGAAGTTGTATTCTTCAGCTGGTCCTTAAATCCTTATACCCCTCCTCTATACACATACAGGAGAGCTCTATGCCAGTAGAAACACAAGTTCAGACATCTGCAATGGCTCTAAAAGCACACAATGAGCAACCATTTGAAAGAAGGGCAAGGTCCTGTGTATAGCACCTATGGCCAAAGTGTATATACTTCTGTATAAGTACTCTGTATACAGTACCTATATTATATATAGATGTGCGAGCAAAGAGGTGTGCACACAATAGCAAAATGATGGGAGAAATCAGACTGTGATAATAATGTTTAGCTGTTTGGTCTCAGACGTTACATATTGGCACATAAACTGGAAGACGCATAATAGGAGACCAAATGGGCCTCCACTTTGTTTTAAAACTTTCTTACATTGGCCGTCACATCTCTCATGTGATTGATCTTTTGTTCACAGTTGTTGACTGAGGAGGGTCACCTAAAAGCTGTTTTACCAATTCTAATGTAATTATATTTTATTCTACATGATCTGTCAGCTACAATTAACTGAGAATAATTAATGAGAAAGAATATACTAAAGTCTGAAGGAGCAGACATCTGTAGATCACAAGCACAGTGGCAACTTAAATTACGGTTAATGTGCATTTAAACTTCTATTTTTCAAATGAATCGTGGTGAAACAGCTGGTTCACCACTTGGATCTCACATAAACCAAGTTAACACTTTGAAAAAAAAATCCTATTCTCACCTCTTTCCCTACCTGCATATCTGCAAGGAAAGATGCCAGGAGTGTTAGGCTGGTGCGATTACCTTTCTCCCCGACGAAGGGCAGGGACCACGTGAACACATCCATGAAGTTGGGCAGCCAGTATGGGTGGGGGGAGCAGTTGAACTGTCGGATGTTCATCACATTGTTCTCGTATTTCAACACAGCAGCTGTGAAGCAATGAGAGGAACCTCTTTAAGTTTCTCTCAATCACAAATTCAAGTGGAATACCCACTGGTAGAAACCCTTTACACTGCTTCAATCAACATACTGTATAACCAGCTGCTGTTTCTAAACACATGGTTACTCGGACATAATTCACTGTAGCACAGGTTCTTTAGGCAAGATACCATAGACCTGCAAGGACTGACGGAATAAGAAAAAGAAGAGTCTCTGGTCTGAGATTACACCACCTGCCCTGTGCCTGAATTTCTGAAACTACATAAAAAACTATAACATCAAGCACTGCAAAATTTGTTTTACATGGATCTGTATAACTGCAAATCATACTAAGGCATGGGGAAAAAACAGTAAGCTGTGACAGTACAGAAGAGAAAAAAATATTAAGTTTGGATCTCATGGTGAGAAGTGAATTCCAGCAAGTGAAGCACTAAAGTAACATATTTGTGTAGAAGTGAGGTGTTCACGCACTGTGGCGTGACAGTACACCTTGACAGCATTTTGAAATCTGATCTGCATCTGTGAACATGCCAATTTGCACGCCCCCAGATTGGCACATTTAGATATTGTGCTGCCAGGAAAGAATCAGTCACACAAAGCGTTGTCTTCAACACCAAACACCCCAATCCTAATACACACCTCCACTCTTAGGATGAAACATGAATCTCAGGCCACAGAATGGCCAGAACCTTGATTTAAATGCATTTTAAATTATGGATACTTGTGACTTCCTAACAACACCCATGGCTATTTTGTTACATGCTTTTAAAAATAATTAAACCACATCTTACAAAAAATAAAAAATAAAAATATATTGATATATTGACTCAAACTGCAGTCCAACTGCCTGTTTCATATGATTTTCATGTCATATTTCATATGTCTTATTTCTTCTCAGAAACAGTCACTACCAGTCACTTTTTCTTCTTCTTTTTCTTATTGGAGATATCTTTGATTAAGTTATTTTGATTCTAATCAAACTAACCTTTGTTGTTGTATACGTCTAGGTAGTTTGGTGCAGAAAAAATTGTAATTAGTGAGGGGAAACCTGTTGTCTGGCTTTTTCTGTACATTCGGTACCTAGGAGGGGAAACAAAAACAAAAAAATTGCACTCGACAGGCATTCAGTAAATACAGATGACAAGATAACAGTGAACATGTTCAACTCACACAAATAGTTAAATCCAAAAAGCAAACTGAAAAAACAATCATGATCAATGATGGTTTTTTTTCTGACCAAAGCTTACAATCACAAACATAAGATACAAGATATAAAATGTTCAGTACTTATTTTACAACCTTTAAGGCATACAGTTGCAGACAGAAATAAGAGCAAACTGAAAGTTTGCATCTTAAAGTATTTATAGCCACTTTTGTATTAACTGGGTTTTAAACAAAGCTATGCATCACTGCCGCAGAAGATCATTTTATTTAAAAGAAAGCACTGTACTTGATAACCCTTTTTTCGGTTGTTTTCAGCAGTACATGCAAAAAATAAAGTTAAAACACAATAAAATGTTGTCATTTGGTCATTACAATCTTGACATCTCCTACACTCCCTTTTTAAAATGGCATTTCCCTTTGTGAACAGCAGAAAAATTGATTTGTCTTAAACAGTGCCAATTTAAGGTTTATTAGCAAGTGAAGGTTGCAAAATCATATTGCCTTACCCTGCATCTTGAGCTTCATGTGCCCTTATTACTGATAACAAGTTATTATTTAGCAAGAATTCGCATACTGCTGGATAACTGCAAGAAAAAAAGGGAAACTTGACAAAGCAAAAACAGACCGAGTGACACAAGACTCATACTCTTTAACATCTCTGCATCTCCAAAACCATATGTGTTGAACAAGCGATACATGATATGAAAACAAAAATGTAAAAAGCCATAATGAATCAAGTTGCAATAACTTCTTGTGGAGCTGTATTTGTTTATTTCTTTTAGACTTTTGCTCTCTGGCTTTAATGGTTGGGTAATGAGCTGACACTGTGAGTTTTTCAAACCCAGCTAATGACTGGCTTGGATACCCACTGTCGCGGGGAGTGGCAAGAGCACACAGAAGTGCTCTTCATGTGGCGGCTGGCATTTTTCCGCCCAAGCACATTCTGCAGACCACCTGCATTTGGTTAGGAAAGCCAAAAATGATGCCAGCTGGAAAAACGTACAGTATGCACGGAAGAGATGTATAAATGGATCAAAAAGTCTTTGGATGAACCCGATTAATAAAACTATCCATTTCATCACAACCTCTCATTTTTCCCACTACAATTATTCCCACTTACCAAACCTACAGTATGTCCAAACATTAATGAACAAATATAGTGGGGCACCCAAAAAGATCAAATGTTTCACACACCACATGATACAGCTGTTTAAGCCAATTGCATGCACTACTGTTTCCACTGCTGACATCTTTAAAAGCTTTTAAATTGAGTTACACATTTATCTCACTATCAAATTGTCAACTAGCGTTAGGAGTGGGGGTTTGTTCACGGGGCTGCTACATTGTATTTATTCAAAGTTACAAGAGAAACACCTACAAACCACCGAAAGCTTCTGCAGTTGGCATTTTAGCACTAACTGCAAATCAAGTTAAGAAAGGCATCAACTTTTTTATCACAATCCATCCAGTTTTCAAAGCATTTTATCCGTGACTGATGAAAACAAAATTGTGAGCAGGCCACGCAGCTGTGGCAATTCCTTGTCATGTTTAGTAGTGCTCTTTTAATAACCTAGTTAAGCGTACATTCGGGACTTTTGTACCTGTAGAAGTAAGAGCAGCCTCGCACGGTGTTATGGCTGAAATGTTCTGAGGATTTCTCGCTACCATAGTCCTCTGAGGGGTCTGACCACAGCAAGTCACACATGGGTCCAAAGGCTGGGGGTTCTTTAAACCTGTCTAACTGAAAAACACAGGAACCACACTCAGCACAAAGCTCAGATAGTCACACAACATAACATATAATTATCTGTATGGTCAGTTTCTGTACAGATTACTAGCGTGACTTGACCAGTTCAGAAATTCCACCTTCGGCTTGCATAGAATAACATACATAAGTTATGCAACAAAATATATATTAAAGTCGTTAAAGTGTATAGATATTTAAAGAAAAATTAGGATTTATGCATAGCTTTTTTTCAGTTTATTTTTCGATTTCTTTGAAGTGATCACAATATTGTAACAAAACACGTCTATTATAGAATTGTTTTTACATTTTGTTTAAGTTATATATTTTATTTTAAGGCCCCCAAGAAAACTGACAGTCCCAACAGATACAGCATCTACTGTCATGAAGCCCACAGTCATTAGCAAAGACAGCGAGTGAGAAAACACTTTTATCCTAATTCTGGAAAACCAATATCCAGCAGGTGTTACAGTTCACCCTGAAATAATCAATTTGTAAAATGCGGGTGACCCCTGAGTAATTTGGTAAGTTATTCAATTATGTCAAGAATGGGCAATTGTGGTGCTTGTTAACTACAATGTTGAGATTGTCATTCAAACTGAGTTTTTCCATTACTTAAAACAAATCACTTACTTCAGTCGTCAAAACAAAATTATTTCAAGTGCTTAGAAATTTATGACCCATTCACCTTGATTGACTGAGGCCCCTGGTTTAACCTTTCAGAGCAGTATTGCCCTATCTTAATGCTGAGGAACTGAGAGGGAGAAGCTTCAATCAGGGCTGTTCAAATCTGATCCTAAAGGGCCGCTATGTCTGTGGGTTTTCATTCCAGCTCAGCTCTTAACAAGGTAAACAGGCTGTTTACTGGCTTAACCAGAGGTATTTAACATTTATGACAATACATTGTAGTCTCATTTGTGTAAAGTTTAACAAAAGTTCATAAGAACAGTTTTTTGGAGCTCAAAAGTGGTTCAAAAATGATCAGATCAGCTCAGGCTTTCATTCAGTAAGGGCCCAGGTGGAGAGAAAACAATTTGGCACAGGAGCACTTCGGGACCCTAAGGAGAAAAGCCATGCATTGTCATGTAGACATCAATTTAAAAGGACAGCTTTTGCATAGGGCGCTTACTTTCCTAATGTCATCTAGGCAGTTTATCTCTGGAGACAGTCCCCCATGGACACACAGGAACTGTTGGTTGAGGAGTGCAGCAAGAGGGAGGCAATCAAATGCCTCCATGCAAGCGTCGTATACCCGCTCTGAGTATTTGATCTTACCTGCAGGAAGAAACACACCAAATGAGTAAATGAGTTACATGGAATTTCCTGTAGGCTTCCCAATGCTGACTTCTCACCTTCTCATGTAGAAACATTACTAATATCACTAATATCCATTTTCCTCTTATGATTTCATAGCTTGAGTTGTTTTGCAATGCATTATCTTCTGAGGTTAACATTTAACTTTTTGGTATATTTTTTTTGCAGGTGTATCGGTCTTGAAATACGAGTACATTACTAAGATCCTGTCTGTTTTTGCAGGTGTATCGGTCTTGAAATACGAGTACATTACTAAGATCCTGTCTGTTTTTGCAGGTGTATCGGTCTAGAAATGTGAGTACATTACTAAGATCCTGTCCACACTGCGTAACCAATCTTGAGAGCCATATTTAATGACATTGTAAACAATCGAGATCCATGTTCCTACTCTCTATGCATACAAACAGACTGATTTATTTTCCTACCAGTGCAACAGACACTGAGAAAGTACCCCATGATGCTCAATGCATTTGCAAATTGAACCAATTCAGATGCCTGACCCCTTTTTCTGAATATCACAAGGTACCAACACATAAATGCATTTAATTTTGAACTGAAGTTCAGCACTGTCACTTCTGATATTAAAAGCTGGTATGATTTCAACATCTTTCCAGCTCTCTGACTCACCATTTTACAGCTCAGAATTATGACCAACAGATATAACCCATAGCCATTTACCATTATTGCAGTCTTTCTCAGGTGCCTGTTCCAAGTACTGCATTTGCAAAAACCTTTGGTTAAATGTACAGTACTATCACTTAGCATTTTGGTATAGTGGATAATGGATTTTGACAAATGCTGATCAGTAGTACAGCATCTACCTTTCTGTAACACCACTTCATCTGATGCTATTTTAGGACAGCCTCAAGGCTCTTTACTGAAGTGAACCGAAGTCTGGCTCTTAAGCATAATATTAAATGTGAATACCTCCACTTTACAATCGGATTTCCTGATAAACTAATAAATGCCTAGGGTGGACATGACCTATTGCCACTTCTGAAACCAACCACTGGTAGTCTTGTAGTCCCTTCTGTCCTGACCTGCATTGTTTGTCAGTGCAAACATGATGTCAAGAACACTAATGATGTGGCAAAAGGTCAATGCTAATTAATATTTTGGTGCAAATAAAAATATACCATTTGGATGAGACTTGAATTCTGAGGCCGTAGAAAGACTATATTAATTCCAACACTGCAACAAAAAGTTTGCGCAACAATGTAAATTCCACCCTTAATGATCAGTATAAACTTGTGAGATACAGCCCACTGGAGAGGGAATGTAAAAAGAAATGGAGTGTTTACAAAATATAGAAAACATCTTTGCCACATAAAAAACACAAATGAAACTGACTGCTTACAGCCATCTTCACTGGGGAAGAAATGTATATGTTAATAGAACAGTAAAGGCCGCTAGTAGGACACAGGAAGACTGAATAAAAACACTTTTAGCTATGGAACGTCTTTACTTTCAAGCTTGAGAATCTTTCAATTTAACAGTAAAAACTACACAGATCATAGAGGGAAAGCCTTATATGCTTGGTTTTGGGAACAGTCTGTGAATTTTGTGCAGTTACGGAATGTTCTTGATAAAAGGCTGAACAGATCATGTTTGTGCTTCTGACATCATAAAAGTCAGGACCTAACAATTTATAGCACTGCAGGGAAATACAAGGGGAAAGGAGGTAATCCCTCAGTCCTAGCAGGATTAGAAATATATCAGTCCGCAATGTTTCCCATTCTTCAACTTCCAACTATGTCCCCCAATCAGGCAAACAGGTTTAATGAATCTTGGGCAATACCCTGGGATGGAAATATTAAACAGCCTTCAGGGGTCGTTTCAAAATTAAAGGCCTCTTTTTAAAATAGCATTAAAAAGAAAAATTGAAGACGCATGAATTTGCGTGCGTACTGTAAAAGCAACCAACAGAGGTTAATTCTATGTAGAAAAGAGACAAAATTCTCAGCTATAGTGCATAAATTAATACATGTACTGAAAGTGTTTTCACTGACAGTAGTAAAGCGAGTCAACATTTTACAGCGTTTGAATGTATCTTTCAATTTATTTACAATATGCGATATGAAATAGTTTAAAGATTATACATTTTCTATTTTACTGACACACGTGCCACGGTTTTAAAATGACAAGAGAACATAACTACAAAACCAAAAAATTAAGGGTCTTTTCACAGGTTTTTCACTGGGTAGATTAGATCATGGATTAACCCAAGTACTACAGTATTGTAGATCATTACATGAGTTTTGTCATCAGAAAAAAACATTCCAGCATTTTAAAATTCAGGAAATGTTTCCACTGGGTAACTTAAGACCTCATTTTGTTCCCTTGATAGTCTGGCTGCTTTATATATATAAATATATCAATTTAAACAGGCCCTTTCCATATCAATTCAATGATTACAGAAACTATGATTGCCCTTACCACTTGCCTATCGGGGCTTTGACAGAGAAAGCTGCCTCCTGACTGGTAGTGCTATGGGCGGTCAGGTGCCCCCTGTCCCTGAACAAGCTGCTCATTAGTGTGCCACTGACCACTCAAGGTGATAATGCCATAACATCAGATGCACGGGACACTCCACTCTTTTCTGACATGCATTTTTCATTTGGCTTTTTTGTCAACTTTCAATAAAAAAATACATCTTTTTGAGAAAAAAAAACAAATTCCATAATTGTTTTTTAATTAGACTTTTTACTAAATATATAAAATATAGCAAATTTTAAGCAGCTATTATAGTTTGTCAACATATATCGTACTTATACAATGTTAGTGTCTATTCTTCCCACATAAAAAAAGGAGAGTCAGTGATATAAATACCAAAGTTATTTCCTTTGATGCTCTGTTTTTAGTTTTGACAACAGAGATACTTCAACATCTGCTACTACAGATGACTGCTTTTCATCTCTAGTTCTCTGTTTTTAGATGAGAAGAAAATGCTTTCGTTCTTCTGCGGCCTTGAGCTGTGCTGTGCTTTCACAATCTGAACTGGTATTAAAATGTAACAAGTTTGTCCTTCTTACATCTTTGTAAATAAACCACTGGGGAATATTTATTATCAAGATGTTCCAGTGGGCAGACGTTAAAACAGAGGGTCAATTCCCAGGTTTATTTCAGAAGTCATAGTTTCTTGGTTCCTTAGAGTCCAACATTCTTATCTCCATTTCCATTTCTCAGAATGTCAAAAATACAGTTAAACAGGTTGAAAACTCAATGGACTGAGAAGTCCACACTGTAACCTTCACATATTTCCACTTCATCTGAAGTTTTCTGAGTTCAATGAGTCTGATGTGGTGATGTCAGTGGACCTCAAAGGTACACAAGTTTGTAGGGTCACATTAGGCATTCAAACAAATAAAGCCACAAATAACACATTGCAGTAGAACCATCGGCAAAAAGCAGCCTAATCTCATTTTTTCTTAGATGTACTAAATAGTCTGAAAGAGTACAACAATGAACCTTCCTGACCTACTGTATATAAATATCCGAATACAAAGCCCTTCCATTTTCAGAGGCATAAGGCTGAAGGGTTAAAAATAACTGTTAATCATGGGCCTCCAGTGTTGTATTTACAGTAAGCACTAATGCCTCACTCAGATTGGTTTAATGAATCCTGTGTACAGAAGCAAAGGCAGGTTAAAATGGCACTGTGCTTCACTGGAGATGCTAAAATAATAATTCCTTACACTTATACAGTACTTTTCTAAACACTTCATTCAAAGTGCATTTCAGGTAATGAGGACTCCCCTCCACCACCACCAATGCTCAGCCCCAGCTGCGACGGCAGCTATAGTGAACCAGTACACTCACCACAAACCAGCTATCAGTGTGGAGGAGAACAGAGTGATGAAGCCAGTTCAGAGATGGGGGATTATTAGGAGGCCTTAACTCGTAAAGGCCAATGCAAAATTTGGCCAGGATGCCGGGGTAACACCCCTACTCTTTTCGAGAAACATTCCAGGATTTTTAATGACCACAGAGAGTCAGGACCTCAGTTTTACGTCTCAAACAGAAACGTACACTATGCTTGACAATACAACAGTCTTAATTTAGGAGCAGAATCACTCTGGCAACCTGGCAACAGTGGATCTCAAGTTATAAAACACACAGCTCACCAATTTCTGGCTCTGCAATTAATTCACAAATACATAGCTATAGTATTTCTCTGCCTCCTATAATTAAGGTATTGAAGAACTAAACTGGCACCTAGTCCAAAAACACAAAGAACTCTTTCCAGTTAAAGAATTGCTGGAAATATTTTATCTATTATTTGGTACTTAGTAGCTTTAAGGAACTTTATTATTTGGTCACATTTTACTTAACTTTGATTTTAGATTAATTCTGGTGAGGCCATATTGATCATATTTAATTGGGATTAAAGCAAATTATCACATTTGCTTTTTTTTGCTTCTATGAGACACTTTAGAACTTTTGAGACACTTTTGATGTGCACTCGCAAGTACTTTCAGCTTATCTGGTTTTGGAATTAAACATAAAAAACTGTTACTTATCTTTATCTTCACATCTTGACTGAGGCAATAGTACCATTTCAACCTCTTCGTGAGGATACACAGCTCAAATATGGCATTAATTGTGCAACACCAATCTTTTTTTTTCATTTTGCTTCCACTAAAATGGGACACATCCTTACAGACCCCCATTTCCAAATAAAAATAACATACAAAGTGAGCATGTAAGACTCCATCATTTAAAGTTATAATCTGTAAATGAATAAAGTTAAAATCTGCAATGAATGGCTTCTTATAATGTTTGGACACTGTGGAGAATTAACCAACAAAAACATTTATGCCTTATTTTGCCTTTTTTTCTTGCTGTGAATGAAATGTCACAATCCTGTAAATGTATCATCGTTGCTATTATGGGTAATCCCTGTAACAAAGCAGAGTGGAAGGAATACAATAGTGTAGGTGTAAAGCTAATGAACAGAAGCAAAATCCAGAGAAAAATAAGTCATGGAAATGCTTACCAAACACATTGCTTACTTTGTTCTATTGTAAAAGGATAAAAGCTTCAGAGATCAAAATGAGGACTGACCTATGGATATAAAACTACACTGCAATGTTCATCACTACATTTCTACATGTAGTACTGCACTTTCTGCATTTTTTCCAGGAGGGATTCTTCACAATCTAAAAGTACAAGTGTTACTTTTTCTGCTTAATGAGCAATAAATAAAAAGACTAACTTTGTATTAACACTAGTATTTTAAAGAGACAGTATCTTAATAAACAGAATAATGCAACAGAATATAGTATTATAATGACAAATGCATTTAATCTTAATTTTCCTCTTCATTTTATCGTATCCATAGCAATATTCTGCAACACCTGTAAGTCTCTTAACTCATTTCCATATTAATGCTGAACACCTGGAGTTTTTCTGGGCAGTACAAAAGAACACATTCTGTATTACACAGATTCAGACAAACACACAAAGCAAGACTAATAAAATATACAAAAATTACATATTTATATTTAAGTGTATATAAAATAAAGCCTAGATGTTTCAGCTACAGATACTGGCTAACACAGCCATGCAACAAGCAAGAGGTTCTTCACTGAGAGCCAATAATTCTGAAAATAATTACATTACTTATAAACACACTCTGGTTATACTATATATAGGAGCTGACATGTGCTGATCTGTAAGATGTCATGAGTGTACCGCAAAAGTGTTGGCATGTTGATGGGAGGGCATACTGAATTTCGAAACTGCATAACAGAAGGCACTGGCTATGTTTAGAAAAATAGCTCAATCATATAAACTCATAAAAAGATGCATCTAACTGACTTATGTCAAATAAACAGAACTAATCTGATTGCTGCTTTGCACCATGACTGCGATTAAATCTATACTTCAGCTTTTGGTATTTTCTACAAGTCTTATTTAAATACAGGAAGTCGCACAGTTTCCTTCTGGTCTGGGGGGTCCAAAGAAAGTAACATCTCTCACACTTTCAAACAGAGCTGACATGTTTGTTTAGGGTTACACTTGCAGCTATATTTGTGGCTTAATTCAACATTATTTGCTCTGCCTTTTTTTTATTCATGTGCTAATAATGTACTGATAACTGCACAAATTATAGTAGTGGGTAAACCCATCTTCTATGAAACCCATTTGAAATTAGAAACAGTATATTGTTTTATGGGAGTGAGTTACAGGCTATTATCTTATTGGAATATGAAATTCTATTTAATCATATTCTTTCTGTTTAGAAATGTATAATAGACCAACTTTTTTGTTTCCCAATGCAGACTCATTATTCCATTGCTTTGTGAAGATGACCGATACCAAACTTCAAAAAACATTATCATTTGTGGCCATTACTCTCTCTTTAATTACCTTAAATCTTCGGCATATGTGACACAAAAAAGACATCAACAAAATTAAACAAGATGCTTCCTAGTCTATTCTTTTCCAGGATTTTCAGTTAGATGGCAAAAGAAGCAGTGAAGTTTCCAAAACAACAATTTGCACGCTAGCGTATAATCAAGAACTGTACCAGCAGGGATAAGCCCCAAAAGAGCTTTGTGAACAAGTGCAGCAGCATCCGAATGATAATCAGATGCTCACACACAGACATGTGTTCCCTTCCCATGACATTACTTTTCTCAGTGATCACTATACATTCTTGTTATCTGCACTGTTATCTGTTTGCTTTTGCTGGCTCCATGTTAACAACTGTGGGTGTTAGGCTGGTGTTTTAAGAGACCTGTGCTTAGTAGCTGAGCTCCAGGAAAAACAGTGTTGTCTACAGAAAAGAACATTTAGACAAATATTCGGTATCAAAATACAATAAACATTATAACTCAAAATATAATCATTAAAATAATATATTTGTTTGCATTTAATAAACTGGTGCTGTGATGCACTGATTTTTGGATTATACAGCATAAGAAGCATTATTAAATTTTGCCCCTTCCCCCAGCCCAAAGCAAGTTCTTCGCTCTTTGATTGAAAAATTGTCTCCACAGTAGACCGATACTTTGCTGTATTAATTTAAATTAGAGATCTCGACTTGCAAAAATACCTCTCTAACTTAGTTAACTACAGTCCTGTGTACGAATCTACAATTTAAGATGCTTGAAGCTGCCAAGTGAAACTAGTGACTCTGGGTACAAGTCAATTGAAGTCAATTGAATTTGTTTGTGTGTTTCTATGGGGTAAACTAAGCAACTATCCACATTAGATCTGATTAAAGGTTTCTGCTCAGCAGGTACACTTATTAACTGGTCATGTTCTACTATGGGATGTTCATGTTATTGATAATTCTTTTCTTTCTTTCATTGCTTTTTCTGCTGTGAAACAATGGCGTCAGTCTCTTGGCTAATATATCCTAGCAAATGCAAATTCATTCTCACCTGGTTTACACAGTTAAAGAAAGGATTATTGTATTAATATGGAAAGTTTGGCAATAGTACAAATGACTTTGTATCGGAACATCTATGTTACTAGCATCTGAAATGGATGTCTTTTGTTTCATTCATCATCACCAAAAATCTCATTCATGCTGTGGATCCCAGACAGTTCACCTATGTATAGCTTTCTCACATGTTTTTATTTAAAAACCTCATTTGCTAAAAATCTGTTAAAATGCAGCCAGATATACCTAAAACAAAAGGGAACAAAAGGGTCCTGCTAATAACAGTTCCGCAGTTGTTACATAACATGATATATTTTTTCTCGTTCAGCTGCTGTGTGCAATGCTGACCAGAGAGCCCTGCAATATCAGCAGCAGAGATTTCTCAAAAACAGATGCTTGAATATTTTGTGTGGAAACAAATTAACATTGGAATATACTCTGAAGTGCATTTGTGAGGCACGGCATACTGAAGTCTGTGCAACATCGAAACAAAATCTGTTTACTCACAAACAGTCCTCTGACTTTTTCAAAAAGACTTTTGGCAGGAATAGGAAGGCATGCAACACAAAACACCAGCTGTGAAGTCAATTGTTAGGAAATACCTTCAAAGGCACAAAGGTGCACAGAATGTTGATTGAGAAAATTAAAAAATTCAAAGATCCATCCCTAGGCAACTTGTTCTGATTAAAAGCCACAGCATTTTAACAGTAATTCAAGGCTTTAAATTAAATTCAAGTCCTAAGGTAGTACTTAATCTTGTTTTCACTTTTAATAATTCTAACATTCATTGATATCTAATCTAATAAAAACCATGCTGTGTGCACACACTTTTTAAAGCTGCACTTACACTCCTGTTTAAAAGTGAAGTACTCTGTGAGATGCCGACACTCGTGGTTGCCTCTGAGGAGGAAGAGGGTGGTGGGGTGGTTGATCTTCAGTACCCAGAGGAACAGCACACACTGTGGGGAAAAAGACAACATCAGCACCAGCCACAAGACACCGAATACACCACAAACATCCAGCTGCCTCTGCTGAAGCGAGAATAGCACCTAACACGATGGAAGCCGTTGCATTTCTTGTAATCTTTTTTATTTTGCACCTTTAGAATACTACCTAGGCAGAAAGAGCTTTTCATTTATCTAACAGTATTGCTTAAACATCAATCGATAAAGCAACAAAGGTTTTGAGACAGATCCGCATTGATGGCAACAGGCTGCAGGTTCTCCAGAAATTGTGTAGCTCGTGATTTTATTTAAGCCAGCTCCAATCAGCTTTATTTAAGGTTTTGCTTTAATTTAGCAGGTTAAACATCTATTTAAGCATTTGTCAAGTGAAGTTCCCATTAGAAAAATGAAAACAGATTTTCTCTGAGTAAAAAATAATTTGGTATTTTAAAAGTATCGCTAGAAGCATTTGCTAGACAAATTCCAGCAGAAAAAAGTATTGTTCAAAAACGGAAAAATGGTAAGGACCAAAAAACATTCAATTTAACATTTCTGCGTCAGCAGCATTTCCTTTGGGTGACACTTTTATGAAAGCAGTTACAGTTCACTACTATGTAGGAAAGCCAAAAGCCAAAAAAATCAGAAAAGAATGTGAACCTGCATTTAATAAGTTACAAATGAAGCACAAATGCAGTGCAGGATCCGGTATGGGTGACCGCACACAATAATCCAAGAGTCTTATAATACATTTAAACATACAGTTGCATACAGTTGAAACAGGTCAGCATAACATCCTGTGATCCGTCTTATAGAGTCCAAATGACCCCTGAAAATTTGTAAATCTTCATTTACAAACAGATTTCAAGACAGGGTACTTAAAATTATAGATGAAAGTACCATAATGAATGGATCAGAAAGGTCCCCACCCCCACTCGCTTCTTGAGATATGCTTCATAATGCAATTCTTGTACCATGAAAAGAGACCGCTCAGTCCTAAAGACCTGTCTTTGTTGATAATCCCTGAACAGAAGCTCATTGCCCCTCTCAGCCAGGCAGCTGAATCTATTTGCAGGCCCGCTCTGGTGCAAACACACTTGTTTGCATTTTAAAGCACTGTGCCTGACAAAGCAAGGGATGATTAATGAGGAAACAAAGTTGCAGCATGCCTATTTCTTTGCCAGCACCTTCCCCGGACACACTCAAACGAACAGCTTCTCATATGTTATCAAATTAAAGCAGGCTTTTTACCTAGGTCCATCTTTGCCATTTGCAAACGTCACACCAAAATACTTGAAAATGAACAAGTATTTTAGACAGTCATATATCTGAACTCTGATTAGCTTTGACACACTCCATCTTTTTCCATTTAATCCCATCAGACAATATCCTAAACTCCATTACTTACAATCTGAAAAAACTCTCATGAATGCTGGCAGGTTTAATGGAATTCAAGGATAGTGAAATTTATTAAAATGGAAATTGTAATGGAAGTCAAACTACCAAGAATGGATATGCATATGGTTTGCGAGAAATACAATACTTTACACATGTAAATATGACCAACACCACCACCCCAGCTGCTGCCACATCCCACTACTGAATAGTTGTTTGATCTTATTAACTCCATGGTTACATTCCTAAATAATGCAACTTCTATCAAAATACGCTAGGGGAAGGAATGGGCTTAATATGTGTTCGCAATACACAGTTTACATGGGTATATACATTTCATGTAGTATAATCTATAACAAAACAAAAAAATAAGACAGTTACCAACTCCTTTGGCTTTGTGATCGTGTTAAAACCCCCAGAGGCATTTGCTGCTTCAAGGTACACTTTTTGCCACACACTGTTCATGCATTTCTAGTCAGTGTTGGATCAGCAATGTATTGCGTGATGTTAAGAATACAACTTTATGATGATGTAACCATTCATAATCTGAATTATGGGTTACAGCACTGTCTGCAAGAATACGAAATTTTAATGTCTTCAACTGTTATTTTCATTTCCAAAACAAAACAATTCACTTAGCTCCTACACTGCTGGCTTTTAGTGCCTTGAAAAATCAACATTAAGTGTTAGGTTTTTGGACATGAAGATTCTCAATTCATCAATGATGGAAGTACAAAAGATTTATAGTCTTACATAGATGTATAGTGGGGCGACTTGTTAACAGGGACTGCCTGTACCACATATTTGAAGCCCTGAGTGTTCCCTTATTCTGAGCAAATGTGACATGAGATTATAATAACAACCATACTTCTTTTATGACTGCTCAGGACTAATTGCTTGCAAAACCTACAATGAAACAAGCTGCTGCTGTGCAATGGAAGTCCTGCAACTTGGATATGTTAAAACATGTGCCTACACTTCAATGGTAATTTAGGAAGATCTGTTGTCCGGCAAATATTGGGACATTGTCTGTTCTTCTATATGGTAGTGAAACGATAGATTATTATTCTCTTTACTGGTAGAGGTTGGATGGGATTGACAGCCAAGAATCACCTTCCTCTCTATGCTCTAAGAGTGTAGTATAACATTGCTGCGCTCTCGTGCTAAACCATCTTAATAGGTTAACCTCAAAAAACAAACAAGCACATATCAAGGTTTTCTGAGATGGGATTACAGATGCTGCTGTCTATGCTGTTGGTAAATTGCCCTTTCACCCACCAAGCACAAGTTCTTTCCAGACATGGGGTGTAGCTATAGCTTTGTTGTTTCAGCTGTTTGTGTCACTAACCTTGCAGCATAGAGAAATCTCCTCTTAAGTGTGGCATAACGTGAATGAACAAGGAAACCCCCTGGAAGTATTCATAGTGACATATATAAAAATAAATATACAATGACCCCTAGACATAAATAATGTCAGGACTTTGCTAATGTAATCCACAAACTTGCCTTCTGAATAATGCTTTGGGGATTTTCAACTGAAAAAATGTTTTTTTGTGTTCTGGGTTACTTTTGTCAGGGAGCAAAATGTTTTTGACTTAGAAAATAAAATCAGTTTGCAAAGTGAAAACCAAACAAGAAACAATGTCAAAAAGAAACCAACACTTAAGACTACCTGAAAAATGAGTTGATGTCAATTATGAAAATGTTGACAGTTTCAGAAAAACTAAAGCTGGGTTGCAGTATTCACCAAAAATCAGTTCCAGTATTGCAAAATATGGTCTACTGTCACACCTTCGTCACTGTGGTGTGTAAATGATTAACAGAAAAGCAAGGTCTTTTGTTTTTTAATTATGTTATTCACAAGCATCACATTAAATCACAAATAAATATATAAGTCTTAAGCACCGAAAGTCGCATTTACTCCTAAAGATTCAATAAAATACATAAAGTTCTTGTTCCTTTTCAATTTTATTTGGAATACATTATATTGCAATTGTACACATTAAATTGTGGTTTACAATCAATCAATAAATTCAGTTTTGACTTTAACTTAGGAAATTCAAAAAAAGACTGGATGCTGGAAACGTACTGTAAAAGAGTGCATTCTAATGTGCATACATCTGTGTAAGCTATGAGGAGTGTCACATGTGTAAATCAGGGAGTAGCTGTATAGGAGACCTATGGAAATGGAACTACATACCCAGAAGATCCAAATGGTCAGAGAAAGTACTTACAAAGATACCTACAAAAGAATATGTATGATCTGTGGGTATAAAAGAAGCTTTGGCCAACGTTCCAATAATGATCTAGGAGGGAACATAAAAAAACACACCTAGCACCCACTTCACTTGTTCTGTGGATGCTGCTTGGTTTGACAGCCCTGAACGGACAGGTACATTGTATGAGATTTCTGAATTTTTTTTGTCATTAAAAAAAATTCCAAGATGTGGAGTCACACAATTTATATCATAATAACTTTAAATTTATAAAGCACCTTTCAATACCCAAGGATGCTGGTCTTCTTTATAGTGATAAAGAAGTAAAAAAAAGAGTACAATAAAAAGTAAAAGAAAAAAATAACAAGAGCATACATTTTTAAACAGATAATGTACGTTAATGATATCTCAAAATAAATTAGGGCAGATTACAAGGAGATGCAGAAATACCCGTGAAAATGCCATTTGGTCAGCAGAATCACTCACCAGGCTGCCCAGTGCAAGATCTAATCTTAAACTCCTCCTACTCCCTGCTAAAGATTTGACAACAGAATATTCACCAAAGCAATTAAATTCACGTCCTCTTACACAAAAACAACTTACTACATTAGTTAACCAGCTTAGAGAGGTCCCTCCACAAAAGGAAAATTATATTTATGTAAACAACCTGTTAGAATGAATGAATATTTACCATCACTGGAAATAAACCATAAACCTACGCCACAACTCTTATTTAAAAATCTAACGTAAATTCGATCTCACTAGCTATACCAAGGAGAAACTGTGATCTGGACTTTCTCATTTCCGCCCACAACTGCAGCAAAGATAAACACTAAATAAAGCTGCCTTAGCACCAAAGATGGAGAACAAAAAAACCAAAGGCTGGTTGGAAATGAAGACTACATAAACTGAACTGATTTCATTTGCCATGACTATTTTTTTTTTTAAAGAGACACAACAAGGTCACTGCTGAGAACTCAGCATCTAAGCCCCATGAACCAAATGCCAAGGTAACCACCGACAGCAGGTGTGCATTTAAATGTCATTTGAAATAAAAGATGGAAAAACCGAAGCCCTACCAGGCAGAATAATGAGGAAAAATACCCGTAATAAGGACAAAAGCCACGCAAAATGGTTAGGGATGATGAGGATTCTTATATCGCATCTCAATCTGACGACTAAACAAACTAGGAGAATATAGGAGTCAGCATCTACTGTCCAGGCCACTGCTTTTCCATTTTCAACTTTCTCTTTAGCCATACATTGACCAGAACAGAAAGGGAGTTTTAAACAAAGCAAGAGGCATGCTTCTGACAGTGCTAGCAAATCAACAAAACTACCCTGAACAGCACAAGTCTCCAAACTGAAAGGACTTGGAGCTTTGTAAACTGATGGCAGCCGTGTTTG